TCTCTCAAATTCGTCTCATTTTTTAAAAGTATTCCTATTTTTTCGTATGGTTGATATAAATTTTATTTTCAGCGATATTGGTAAAGCTTTCTGAGCAGACAAAAATGCATGCATATTTCATCCCCTAAGTCCAGCTTATTTATTGCTGAGTTTGTAAGGCTCAGCGTTGGTCTGACTAATTTTTGATTCTATATATGTGCTCTTATCTATTATCATATAAATAATCCTCGTTTATTTTGTATGTTCATACCTGAACCCATATATGTACCAATGTTGAAGATTCTTTTGCAAATCTCAGTAAACTCTTTCAATTTTGTACACATAGGTCTCGCTTTTTAAAAAGATTCTGTCCCCAATTTTAACTGATATGTCGTAATTGTCATTGTCCTCGAACTCAGCTCGTGGCCGTATTTCCCATCTCTGTCGTTTACTAATTTCTCATTTTCTTTTCTAAAGACTTCGACTAACCTTCCTAATGTTAATTTCTCAGGATGAATGAGTTAATTTTTTCAGTCCATGTCACTTTTCATTACTCGTTTTTGATATTTTGATTTCTTGTGTAGTGTAAGTATGTAGTCATGCTTCTATTTGTTCGACCTATCCTATAATCCACATTTGTTATCGTGAACATATTCCGTATTCAAACATTGATCTCCCGATCAGGAAGATGGTCAGTATTAACTTTTTTGTCCACTCATATTCATTTATATTTATAATATATATGCGCATTTTCCTCCTTGTAGAGAATTCAAAGAACGATTCTGCTGATAAGTCGACATAAGTCCCATTAAGTCCCGATTTCTTACTATCAGTAGGATCACCGTATAAAAACCGAAATCCTTATATAAAGTCCCACTATATACAATATGTATATATGTATATAAATGTATGCACAAGCAACAGTTCACGCAAATAGAAATTTGTTCACCATGAGCTCTCATTTCAATCTTTTGATCGAGAAATATCGAAAACTCGTGGATGGGTTTTCCATGTTCTAAATTTTAGCATTTTCATTATTATTTGTGAAAATATACTCTTGTGAAAATACTTAATATATACTAATTTCAAGCTAGTAAACCGCAAGACACAATTTTAATCATCTCATCCCCACATGTGTATATATATGAACAAAGGACTATAAGCGTGTTCATGGTCGCCGCAAAAAGTATTTGTAATCTTCCTACTAATAGTAACAATTAAAAAAGCTCTAGTCCGAGGTGCCCGACTAAAAGCAAATCTGCGCTTTGAATTATTTTCCATCTCCTAGGCAACGCGCTAATACATCCTGTTTCAAACAAGGAAAAAACAAAAATTAGCCCGATTTCGCAAAGAGGAGAGCAGAGAACTTCTCTATACCGCGTACCGCCTCTACCAACACCATCACCTCACTTCTGTGTTTCTTAACGGATTTCAATGAATATGTACATATTATATTGGAATATTTATCAGCTAAGTAGAAAATATTAACTAAATTTGAGGAAATTCTGAAAAACATATATGCACGAAGTAAATAGGCACCTATAAGTAATAATTTATGGTGTTTGCCAGGCACGTTACATACATTCTAACTAACCTATTATATCCTAATTTTCAATAGATTGAGGGTGTAAAAGTTTGCATGCTCATGGCAACCTCTTTTATGAATTTACCATATGCTTTCCTCAGAAGGATAAACCAACTCTTTAAACCCATTTAAATTGCATGCATTGCTCAGTTTTATAGACATCTGCTGCTTGATTTTGAATAATTTTCTAATAAAAATTTAAATATTTAATTATATTAGTTTATATTTTTAGAAAAATAGTAAGATTAATAATAAGACAAATTAATAAAACGTAAAAATTATAGCTAATTGCAATTTTATTTATTTAATAAAAAAAAATCCTCCTATTAACAAAAGTGTCAATAATAAAACCATTGAATTGAATATGAATTTTATATTAATGTCTATTAAACGAATATAAACAACGCAAAACGTTATGTTAATTTGAATAATCGATTTTTATCGGATGTTGTATTGCCTGTTGCAGTTATTGAAGTTTTGTTTTCGAAACTAAATAAATTAATATGAAAATGATGCAGATATTACCATCTTTTTAAAGTAATACCGATATTTTTCGAAACTTTTTAAATGCCTTACGCATTTTGCTAAGTTTCATAACATGAATTAGTTACGAAGGGAGGAAACCTAACTAAAATATTGCCCATCACTGATTTTACATTAAATTTGTTACAAACTGTTAGTGACATTAATAAGTACGTACGTATCGATATACTGAGATCGATGCGAAAAGTTTCGTGTTTATATTCTTACATCTCTATTCACTATAATTAAGCATAGGAACATTTTTTCCCTCAAACAATTATTTTATAAGTAAATAAGGCGAAATGGATCATTTTAATTTTGGGGGCTCAGAATTAACTCGTGGTCATGTTTTTCAAATGTTTCTACGAATTTCCATAGCGTCAGTAATAACATATTATTCTGTAAAATGGATGATGAACCAGTTAGACCCAACCAGTAAGAACAAGAAGAAAGCTAAGTTGCTTGCTGAAGAACAATTAAAAAGGTTTGTTTTACTTTGCAAAAAGAGAAATGCAACATGTTATTGTATATTTTTTTTTTTGTAGATTAAGCAAAGAAAATAACTTCAACGTTAATCTTCAGACGTTTACTGATTATGAGTTGATGATTGCATCACACCTTATTGTTCCAGCTGACATAACTGTTAAATGGAGCGATATAGCTGGATTAGATGCAGTTATTCAGGATCTTCGTGAATCTGTTGTTTTACCTGTGCGACATCGTGATTTGTTCAAAGAATCGAAGCTTTGGCAAGCCCCAAGAGGCGTGCTTCTCCATGGACCTCCAGGATGTGGAAAAACCTTAATTGCCAAAGCCACTGCTAAAGAAGCGGGCATGAGGTTCATCAATTTAGATGTGGCTATTTTAACTGACAAGTGGTATGGAGAGTCCCAAAAGCTCGCATCAGCAGTATTTTCGTTAGCTGCCAAAATTCAGCCATGTATTATTTTCGTTGATGAAATTGATTCCTTTCTACGCGCACGTAATTCAAATGATCATGAGGCTACGGCCATGATGAAAACCCAGTTCATGATGCTATGGGATGGGCTAAGCACCAATCCCAATTCGGCAGTAATTGTAATGGGTGCTACTAATCGCCCACAGGACCTCGACAAGGCTATACTTCGCCGAATGCCAGCTCAATTTCATATAAGTCTTCCATCCGAAGTTCAGAGAGTTCAAATTCTTAAATTAATATTAGAAACTGAAGAAGTTGATCGCAATGTCGATTTTAACCGCTTGGCTAAGCTTACAAATGGATTTTCTGGTTCAGATCTTCGAGAAATGTGCCGAAACGCTTCTGTTTATAGAATGAGGCAATTTATGCGAGCAAATGATAATACAGAAACACCTTCAACTTTAGCAAGTTCAGATACTGACAAATCATTAATTTCTATTACAATGGATGATTTGCTTAATTCTCACCTTAAAATGAAAGAGTCTAAAATGCACACTGGTAATTTGTTTTTGGAAAATCGAATTGACTTAGATTAATCATTTTTTACTGTTAAAATTATATTTTTGAAAATATAAATAACTATCAAAAATGTTAAGATTTTTCCCTTATACTAAAATTTTATGTTTAAAAAATGGTATCTTAGTTCCCATCAGAAATTTATTTTTGTATGTATATTAATAGGCTCCAGGTCTTAATTTTTATTTTAAATCTTGTAGTTTGCGTATAAAAAATATATGCATAAGACAAAATATTAGAATCGCATTATAATCATAGTTTCACTAAAAAAAATAATAAAATTATGAAACTATTTTTTTGCCCATTAAGTATATAGAACATTGATAAATGATAATGGTAATGTATTATGTATGAAATATAATATATATAAATCTGAACCCATTGAATTAAATTCAGGATACTATGATTTTGTAAAAATGTATGGAACAGACAGAAGTAAGCGTTGCAGACTTCATAAACTGTATATGTACATATATTCTTGACCAGGAGGCGAGCTGAGGCTAGACTTCACATACACGCGCATATGAAAATGTTATATTGAGATTTCAGTGAATCCATAATAAATTGGATGTTTTTTTAAGTTCATAGGCATTCATGATATGCTTAAAAATACAAGTTTAAATGTTGTAGTCGGTTGCTACCAACTGAATAATACTCATTCATGGAAATTCTAGTTTAATCCATTCAAAAATACAAATTTGGTTAACAGCAGTTAACATTGACGGTCATGGAAATAGAAAATACTACTTTTCTCAGTACAACTAAACAGCTGCATCTTTAAGGTCATCTGCAGGTCATGATGACTGGTCCAAGACTACAAAAGGACATAAGACTGTTTGAATTGAGAAGGTGGCAATTTTATATATGGTGATAAAGACACAATCTATCTTCAAATCTGAACTCCCAAAAATACCAAGGCAAGAAAACCCAACTGTTGGCAGAAATTAACAAAATATAGATACAGACACAGACTTGAAATTTAGCACACTTTATGGTTATAGTTGATGTACAATTTGTGCAACATCGGTATACATGAAAAATGCATAAATTTATACATAATTAGTTTATATTAAATTTATTTCATTCCCTACGATACTGATTTTAATATATATTATTCAATGATTACTTTTTTCACATCTAAATTGAAAGAATAGTCGTTGATACCTGCAACTGTACTCAAGTGTGTTTCGCAATTGTCGTCATCTAAAATAAAATTAATAGGATCGAATTTTATACATATTGACATATTGACAATTAGCATTGCGTTTAATCCACGGAACACACGTTTAAGGTAAAATTGCTAAAAACATGATTTTACAAAAACACATATAAGCAAAGAAACATCATATAAAAAAGTATTGCGTGGTAAGAATTATATTATTTAGAAATCCACATTAAATTTCCGTTCTGGGGTATTTGAATATTCGAAGTCTTCAGATTTAATGAACTTAAATGCTTTTTTATTTTTTTTATCTTACTAGCAAAGCGAACAAAGTCAAAGTATTAGGTAAACGATAAGCTTCTTAAAAATCGGTAATGTTCAAGTACCCTAAATAATAATCTATTGGAATAAAATATTGTTTTTGCAGGACTCTTAAAAGATGTTATTTTTGCCAGAATGATTGGCATTTAGACCAATAGGCTGTGCAAGAATATAAACTTAAAACAGAATTATATAGGATTCTGCACCTCCGTTGCTAACCAATCATTAATCAAAGCAATTAATCTACATCCAAGGGGAGCCCTACGTTCAGCTTCGGTGGTGCAAGACAATAGTTTAATATAAGAAACTGGGTAACATATGCAATCGTTGGAGCAACACAATGTCTGTTGATCACTAAAATTGGACCCTCGGCCTATGGAATCATCTGAACATACAGAAGATTTCTTTCACTCATGTATGGCCAGTGCTCAACTGATTATGGGTAATCGACCATTTTCTAGTGTAACTATGAATCGCCCATTCTTTCACATAGGTTTCATCTACATTGGACCTTTACAAATTAAATGCTCTAGAACGAGAGATTTTTAAAGGATATATAGCTCTTTTCGTGCCTATGGTAACTACAGCTTTTCATTTGGATGAAGTCAGCGACTTATCAGCAGAATCGTTCTTCTCGAAATATCTACAAGGAGACAAATGCGCACATATATTATAAATATAAATGAATGAATGTACAGAAATGTTAATACTTACCATCTTCCTGATAGGAAGATCATTATTCGATGTTCCGGAATATGTTCACGAAAACGAAAGTGGATTATAGGATGGGTCGTGTAACTTGAAACAAATAGAAGGACGACTACATATTTACACTACACAAGTGACAGGTACTGATAGCCAAAAATTAACTCATTCATCCTGAGAAATTAACATTAGGAAGTTTAGTCGAAGTCTTTAGAAAAGGAAATGAGAAATTAGTAAACTGCAGAGATGAGAAATTCGGCCACGAGCTGAGTTCGAGGACAATGACAATTACGACATATCAGTTAAAATTGGCGACAGAATCTCTTTAAATAACGAGATCTATATGTTCCAAATCTAAGAAATTTTTTGATATTTGCAAAAGAATCTTCACCGATATGTGTTCAGTAATGAAATATGCAAGAGTCAGGGTCTAAAACACCTAACCCAGAAGAATAAAGTATTAATATAAAACGGAACAACATCGCAGTCAAGTGTATGGTCCTTCAATTCAATCTACAAGGCTGCTAAACGTGTTGTGAAGAGTGTAAAGGTAAAGTGATAAATTGTTTAAAGATTTTTTCTTTAGCTTTCCAGTAGAGTAGAGTAGAGGCACAACGCGGTCAAAACAAAAAGACAATACCTCCAACAGTTCAAGCCATAGAGTAAATTAGTAACGAATTTATACATAAAGAACATAAACAAGATACTTACGGCAAACACTCAACTCAAGTTGCTAAAAAGCAATCAGATATTTATGATAGTTATGATAAGATCCGGCAGTCGTTGATAAATTGGCAGCAGAATTTGACCATAAATTTTTTAAGGAGAAAATATAAGATGACATAATGGAAACGGTCAAGACCCATTAAAAGTCCCTGATGAAAGTCGAAGTTGCCGATCACGCCTTAGAAACCGACAAAACAGCATCTAGCGAAAACAGCATAGTTCAACCAAAAACGTCCAAGGCAAAACTTAGTCAGCATAAAGATATAAAGGTTGACAGAAGAACTCAAAAAATGGAGCTCAGCAACCAAAAAATCCTTGATTATAAAAAAATATTAATATTCTTGTGAAGCATTCAGTCAATACTCACTGACTTAGAAACAAAATATGAGAAATTTTTCTCTGGCATCGATGAGATTGCTGAGCTGGGATGCAACGTCAGCTTACTCACAAGAAAACTAAACAGAAAAGTATAAGAATTGCAAAACATAAAATACGGCATTCGTTCCAGAGCAACCGAAAGTGGATCTTCCTCACTTTAATGGAAGTCCCAAAGAGTGGCTAATGTTATCAGCGTCACAAGAGAGCTGAACTACCTGAAATCATTCAAAGAAAAAGTCAAAATGGTCGTAGGCTCATTGGCCATTGGCTCGTCTGCTAACTACAACCCAGCGTGGGACCTTATAACGCCGTTAACCAACTATGGACATGGGACTGCTGAAGAACAATGATGAAGCCCGTATCCACAAGATCTTGAACTCAGCGACGGAGTGTATTTTGATCATCAAAGAAAAAGGTGAATTTAGTTATGATGCTGATCTGTTCTATTCGCTCGGATTTTGTTGCGACGTCTCTCCGTGGAAGTCATACAACTAGCAATATGTAAGGAAGACTAGAGAGATCCTTTGCTTTCATTCCTTCGATAACCTGCTGGATTTTATTGAGAAACTGTATAACTCAATAGACTCAGTGCAAAACGGTGCTGTCCATACGTCGAGTGAAGCAAAGACAACGAGCTACAAAATATGCCGTTTTTGCCAACTGGCTTGCCATGAAATAACCAGGTGTGAGAAATTTAGAGCTGAACTTGTTAAAAAGTGCAAGGAGATTGTGAATAAAATCGCGCTATGTTATAAGTGTCTATCCATTGCATTAAAGACGACATGCAATCAATGCGTCAAATCACACAACAATTTGCTTGGGTGCAAAAGAAAAAGTAACCGTCAGCACAAATTGTCTAAAAGAAAAAAGCGCTAGATACATTGCTGGTGACTGCGCTAATTAAAAATTTATATTAGAATTAAGTGTGGAAAAGACTCGCAGTTCAATAAGGAAATTCAAGTAAAAAGCATTCATTAAAAGAGTAAATTGCTAATTTGTATTTCGATTTCGTTTGAAATAATAAATATTAACAATATGAAAACACTTCAAAAACCTACAAAATTTAACAAACAACGTTGGTAACCAGGCGAGAGCTATCGATGCAATAAAAACCTTGGTAAACAAGTCAGAATGGTCTAGTCGGAGTGTCCGACTAGCAGATACCCTGTTCAAAATCCTATGTGTTTATTTTAATATTTTAAATAATTGTATCGAGTATTAAAAAACATAAAAACCGAGATTCAAACCAACGTTGCCTACGCGCATCAGCTCTACTCAACTCAACTCAACTACTTAATAATTAAAATATAAAAATGAAAAAAAATCCCTTCGCCGCTTGTTTTCGAGCCTAGTACTTGTGGGTAACGAGCGCCGCCTCTACCAACACCGCCAATGCACTGTACTGCTTATGCAACTTCAGTTGCAGGTGATAATTTAATCGCAATTTCGATTCTTCGAATAGAAAAGAAGCACGCATTTCATTGCATGTTTGCAAATTGACCAAACATTTTGTTTAATGCCTTTTTTACTTAATGGATTTTAATGAAATTGCCAGCATATGATCTACATGTTCTATTGGATTAGTAGAAATGCAAGCACCTTTAGTTATAGTTCTAACTGAACTTAAATTTTAAGAATTCAAAATCATATTTTAATATTTAACTTGGAGGCTCTTAAGCTCTTAAGACATGTGAGATATAATTTAATAACTGCATTTTGATTAAATTCTTAATCGATAACATTAAAATGGGTATAGTTATCGAATATTTGAAACAAACTTGATATGCACGTGCTATACACGGACCTCCAAAACCTCAAATCTCTAGAGACAGATCGACGCATTCACATATACAGACATTTTCGCTAAATCAGTATATTATAATCAACATATGCGGGTTTTACTTTTTATTTGCAAAATAGTTAAACTAAATGTATTTATTATTTTATAACAATTAAATATTAAAAATCAAACTTAAAATTAAAGAATTTTTTAACAGCCCTTAAAACTGAAAATATATCGCCACAAACAATATTTCCTAAACTTTAATTTAATCAATTGAAAAACAAAAATTATTTTATTAAATTCTTGACATACTTTACTATATACCCTCGTTCATTCTTTATAACAAAAAAGCTTTCCTGCTTCTGTGAGTTCTGCAAAGAAAAAGTTTATTTAGTGTTCGACTTTAACTCGGTGCTTTAGCAAAAGAAAGAGCTTAATTCAACGTGTTGAGATCATCATTACCTATTATTATTGAAAGAATCTAAAAGTATTATCTAGGTAATTTCGAGCATACAAATTATGATAAATATGTATTCGAATTGCACCTGTTGCAGTTCAATTTAATTATTGAGACATTTTTTTTTGTTTGATCTTATCACTGTTAACTGAAATGTAGTGTGTGTGTTGGTACACACATATACCGCTGTGTATGCAAAAGTATATACACGTACATATACATCGATAAATCTACATATGTAGGTACATATATGAATGCGAATTAGAATTTGGTTAAAATTGTGAATGTGTTAAATGTATGTAAATATATACATATATATGAATTTATATATGCAGTCTGGGCTTTAAGCTTGCATAAACAACTTGCATACCTAAATATGTGTGTATATTTACAGATTATACAATATGGACATACAAATAATACATTTTTATTTTCAGAAATGATCGAAGTGTTTAGAAATCAAGTACACAAATACCAAAGGTGTTATCTTCGATATGCATATCTATTTACCGTATCATCGGTGTATACATATGTACATATGTTTAATGCTATTTTTAACCATATTTATGTACATACATACTTATGTATGTAAGTTAGAGCAACAAGTTGGGAAGATAAATTATCTTTTCCAATTTATTTGTGTTTGCCTTGACTTTTTTTCTATTCGGGAGATGCATTTCCTGTATTTATAAAGAAGTTCAAATACATAATTAGTTTCGTATGTACAATATAAAAAAGCTAGATACATTTTCCGTATAATATACGTACACATATAGTTAGTAACCTATTTATGTATGTATGTAATGGAATATCGAACAGGTTGTTCAGTATTGATTTCAGATAACGCTTATGTAAATCAATACATTTCAAATCAGTGTATGTATGTATGACCATAAATGTATGTATGTACATAAGGGCTTAAAGGGTAAGGCTGAAGTGTCAACGACTATCTGATTTTATTCCTACTTGTTCGCGTGAATATATTCTAGAGATATATTAATATAGTGAAAATAAACTTTCAAATTCATATTTTTATTATCAGAGTGTGTATGGGTGAAATTCTACGCAGACTCGCAATTTCAAATTTTTTATAATTTGTATCATTTTTATAACGCTTACGTAACGAATCGCGTAAAGTGGAAGGCGTAAGATGGAAAACATATTCGTGCTATCTGACATCTAATAGCTCAACTTGAAAATAAATAACTTCATTGAAAAAGAGAATGCTTTGGAAGTATCCAATAAGAAGTAACCAGAATTATGCACAGAGTCACGAAAGAGTTATGGAAAGCGGTCTGTTAACTTGACAGTGTGACGTCATTCGGAAATAAGTGCGCGCGCGTTGAGTTTTGTTTGAAAATACAGCAACTTTGACATTTTATCGTTCCTCATGCGAGTACACGAAATAAAAACGGAAAATGCTTTTAATAAATGGTTATATTTAGATTCTTAAAATTCTTTAAACTAAGAATCTTAAGCTCTCCTTGATTTTTTAATCAATGCACACGTTGAATTTTTGGTACACTACATATGAATGGGTAGGTACACTACATATTCGTCAAACTTCAGATGGGATAATAAAGCACAAAAATAGAAAAGGTGGTGTTACAACTTATCTTTTAGTCAACATTAAAAGTAACGGAATTATTCTCTGCTTCGTCCTATTTTAAATGTTTAGTTTTAATATGATAGAAAATATAAATATTATTTGGAAGTCCTCAATGGGTCAATTATTCCTTTTAGTACCTACGCAAAGATTACTATTATTTCAAAAGTCGACATCGCCAAAAAGGCGGACAAATGGGGTGGGCTTATAGCTTTTAAATTCAGGAACATTGAAATGAATTTTTCCAAGGGATTATGGTCATTCTTATTCCCACTTCATGAGAACGATTTACTCGTACTACATTAATTTTATGGCGAACATTAATAGATAGGTTGGCAAGGAAAGCGTACGCGTCCTGAAGATTTTAATATATAAAAAAAACATTAAACTAATGCCATCAATTACGTTTAAATGTCTGTATTATTAAAGATTTAAATTCTAGCCAATTTAATTTAATTTTCGGAAAAAAATAAAACAAAATCCAACTGACCAATGGTGAAGAAGGGTGAGACTCGGTATCGTGACAACGCGCTTAATTTTTTCGCAAGTTACATACAATTGCAAATTTCTAGTGCGAAATATAACAGCATATTTACTATACACTATATTCATTCCTGATTTTGCACCGTGTGATTTTAGGCATTGATATATAATATGTCGATCTATTGTGACTCCTTAGATTCAATAGCGTCTTAAGTCATGGCATTTACGTTTCATAATATATAGTAAGTCCCGACTTATCACGCCATTAGTAAATACATTTCTAAAATCTTCAACAGTTTATAAAATAAGGTTACCAGCGAGTATATATTCCAAATTTCAAGTCAATGGAGGCGAAATGTTTTACGTTCATATTGTTTAACGGACATTATACAAAATCAATGTCACGTCCTCTCGGAAACGAGTAAAAACATTTGCGTTGATTTCACTGAATTAAAATTTAAATATGGCTTGTATATTTTATTATTGTTCTTGAAACGTTTAAATTAATTTATTGAAAGATATTTTTTAATAAATTTGCAAACACTGAAATTTGTACGAAATGTGCTTCTGTTAAAATTATTTAACAGGCAGACCCCATAAAGTTCATATGTTCTTGTTCATGACGACGAGCTGAGTCGATTTAGCCATGAAAAGCTGGACTCGATTTTTTTTACTGTGCACGCGCATAACAATTTACATTCAAATAATCGATAACTATTTTCAGCTTTTCGAAATAAAATTATTAATTTATATTTCGAAAAGCTTAAGAGCTAGAGTCTGCAAATTTTGTATTTAGTTGTATGTATATTTTATACAACTTTGATTCTTGTTATAATGTGGATACCGACTCCAAGTTTCCTTAAATTCATTAAATTAAAGTTCAATAGTCTGCTAATTTAGTTTGTATTTGCCTCTGATCGAGCAAGCAGTGGAGTGGCGGTGTTGGTAAAGACGGAGCGCGTCGTCGTGACGTCATGAGTACAACTCTTGAGCACGACGATTTCATTTTTGATTTATTTTACAAACATTGAGTATATTTAAAACGCATATCTGTTGTGGCTTAGGGTATCTCGTAGTCGGGCATCTCCGATTCAAACTTTCTTACGTGTTTCTTTTAATATTTAAGGATGATGCAATCAAACAATGGGTTTAGACCAAACAGTGAAAGATCCTCTAGTAGAATCTCAATATATAACTATCCAGAACATTTGAATCCATTTACCGAAGAAGACAATCACAAGCGTTTGCGATTTTGGAACTTTTCAAAATCTAATGATAATTCAAAACGAAGAAGTTTTTCATTTGGAAATTTACGAGATGTGTGGTAAGTATTAAGTTAGATAAATTAGATTTACATAAATTAATATAATATACTTTAATACCGTTGAAAATGGGAAATCAAATTATAATGGTTTTGTGCAAATGTATGTAACAGATAGATAGAGGCGTGGCGGACATCATAAAGTATATATATACTTGATTAGGATGACAAGCTGTGTCGATTTATCCGATCCCAGAACCTATAAAAGCTATAGACTACAGTTTTTTTTGTTGGATCAGATCAGATCAGGTTTGTTTCAATTATTATTATCAATTTAAAAGTCTATCAAAATTTAGTTATTAGGTTATACATGCATCATGCATATTTTACACATTTTTGTTACATTTTGGATACTTGGATACGTCCTTCTGACGGTATTAAATAAAACGTTTGGTCAATTGGCAAAAGCATTCATTTAAGTGTGTACATTCTTTTCTATTCGGAATTGCGATTGAATTGTGTTTAAATTGTCAGTTGCCATTTCAGTTTAGATTTGCAACTGTTCGCTCAAGCAGTGAATTTAAAGTGTTGGATTTGCTGAGTTTAACTCCAGGCGAAAACGGGCTATTTTGTTTGTTTTTTACCTTGCCTAGGAGACGTTGGTTTGATTCCTGGTGTCGCAATGTCAGGTTTTCTGTATTTTTTTAGGACAAACATATTTATAAGTTGGTGCTAGAAAAAACCAACGGACAATAGTTAAATACGCACTGCGCACGGAGTTTAGCTATCTCCTAGTCGGGCCCAACTTCTTATTATGTAGTTTCTCGGTTGCCAAGAGATTTAATATGTAATTTTCTGAAATGAATAATCAGTTATTGAATCATATTTTGATACTTCTCATTATTTTCAAAAAACTTGTGCGATAATATTATGCTCTAACGTTTTACCTACAACAAAGATCATTAAATAATTAATAATATAGATAAGTCGCTAATTAAAGAGCACACTAAGCGCCGGCGGTGTTTATTCATAACAAAAAAGGTCTACTCTCACTCAAAACACACGCACTTTACACATACTTTTCACCAAAAACATATTCCCATGTCATCATTAATGTTTGCATTCTGATCAATTTTCAATGGAATATGGAATATGTAGGTCATATGCTCAAAATTTCATTGAAATCTGTAACACAGTACACAGTAACACAGAAGTTATTATATAAAATATAAAATTATATAAGCTCGTGGCAAGCAGCGCCAAGCGTACTCATTTTTTTATAAATGAGCACATATGCATTCAAATGCATGAATTTTCTTTCCTAAGAGTCACAACTGTGATTAATTTCTATATATGCTACTTTAGTTTACATTTCCTACTTGCCGTTAGAGCAGAAAAGCGGTAGATGTGAAGCGAATTGCTGATAAAGATGTGGGTTCAATTCCTGGTAACGTCGTTTTTCGAGTATTTTTGTTGCGGTGGAATTATTAGTTTTAGTCACCAATTAATATGTTTTCATAGCTACATAAATATAGGCGTGTATATACAAGTTGGAGTGCGTGTACTTTGTTTTCAAGCAACAGTGTATAAGAAAACTCTAGCCTAATACCAGTCCGATCTGTTTTTTTAAATATTTTCTGTAGCTTGTATCGAGTATTCAAAAAAAAAAAAAACAAATAAAAATCGACATTACGACACCAAGATTCGAACACATATTGTTTACGCAACTCAGCTTTACCAACACCGCCACTTCATAATTAAAAAACAAAAAAATCAATAAAAATGTCCCTTCACCGCCATGTTCGAACCCAGAAATGATCGCTTACGAGAGTTGATCTACCAACACCGCCACTGCACTACACTGCAGAAGTTGCAAATTTGAAGTTAAGTAGCAACTGATTATTCAGCAGACGCCTTCACATAATGAGCCCATTTCCAACTGAACTTAAATTGAAAGAATTTGAGAAAATTTAGAGCCGGTAAAATATACATAGAACAAAATACAAAATAGGGCTCTTAAGACGTACAAGATATAATTTATTAACAGCATTTAGATCATGTTTTTATTCGGTAACAATTAAATGGAAATAGTTATCAAATTTTTTATACAAACTTGATATACGCGTGCTGTACACGGACCTACAAAAAAAAAATTTCTAGCTCTTATAGATGCTCGGATTTTTCGTCCTGATCAAGGATATCTATACTTTATGGGGTCTGCCACGCCTCCTTCTGCCTGTTACATACATTTGCACCAAACCATTATACCCTGATTTCCCATTTTCAATATCTCTTAATATCTTAATATCTCAAAATGTTTCTTACATGTTTTATAACTGATTTAATCTTGACCCCTCTTTTTATTAACTCCATTGGGATGAGGATACCTAAATTAGGCGGTCAATATTCTGTTTTTGAACGCTAACAAACATTGAACATGAATAAGCACTAATTTGGAGCTCTTGTTACATACAACTTAACAAACAATTAAATTAAAATATTTCGAATAATAAACCTACTAACTTTAACTTTTTTTAGGACTTTTCGGTCATTTAACTTAAAAAAGAAATCATCAACTTTGGGTATACAAAAAACTTCTGAAAGTCCCCCAGTTCTTCGGAGGAATTTCGATTCAACTACGCCGTATTTACATTCAGAACAAAATGCCAACCAAAGAAGACATGTAATGAGATCTTTACAGAATGTTAGCGTTCCTATCGGGGTAAGTATTTCTATACTTTGAAAATTCAACAATCTGATTATTCCGATCTTTTTTCGTATTCAATCACGCTTCAGTAGATTTCTAAACTGTATTTCCCCATATATTTTTATCATTTCTCCTATCGTCTCCTCTGCAAATTTTTGTATTAGCCTATTATACATAAATACTATAAAGTACTCATACAATATTCACCCCTGGTAATATTTCTAGTTGTCGCCACAATGAGGCTAAACCTTTTTAATTTAGAACCGCAGGGAACCAATACAAGTTCTTTAGTATAATTCTGTTTGTTTATAGGGTCTCCGCAACATAAATTCAATTAGGATAATATACTAGAAATTTATACTTAACAGACTGTATAAATTTCTAGTCTTTGTCTTAGTCTTTGCTTTACATGATCTAAACAGGGAAGGCAATCTTCGTTTACATTCATACTCTAGGCTTCTTCTGCTTCAGCTGTAGAATATATTTAGGGATTAAAACTTTTCACAAATATTGTAATAATTAAATTTATATTTATTACTTAAATTTAATTTTAAATTATTTCCAGTCATTCAAAATATATAATTATTTGCTTTTTAAATATTATTCATAATTAATCGTTTTTTTTTTTAATATTTTAATAGTTGACAATGGGCAAAGCTGATTTCGATAGATGTTCAACGCCACAGCCTCAAAGATATGCAACGATAAGGTAATATGATTGTAACTCTCTTCAAAGAGTATATTAATTCTTCATTACGATCAAAAATCTAGTCATAAAATATACATAAGTATCTAATGCTCTGTTAACTCTAACAAACTTACGTTGGTCTTGTTAAGATAAATTCATCATATCAACTTAATTATATGTTTATTTCAACATCTTTAAGCCTGTGGCCTTTAACTGAGTCAATAAGTCCGAATTCGAAACACAGTGTGTTAGTCAGTAAAAAAATATATTTAGATCATAAATAAAACATAGTATTGAGCGTTGTATAAATATTTAAATTTTGCTTATGTTTTTTTTTCATTTAAGATCTTCGTATTCTAGTCTATCAAGCACAAATCCATTTGAAAGTGAAATTGAATCTGACGTAAATAATATTGAGAGTTCGACACTTGGTCTTCGTACAAAAACTTATCGCAAAAAGAGGAGAGCCCCTTCAGTTCCTACTAAAATTATGGTAAATTGATATATAAATGTGTTTTTAATAAAAAAAAAAATAACAAAATTATTTCAGGTCACGGAGCCGCAAACTGATCCCGTAAAAGAAAATTCAGTAGACTCCAGACATAATGTTGACGATTTAGATATTAAGTCACTTACCACCGAAATAGAACGATTTGTAAATCATAGTAATGAAACTTCAGATAATCATATATCAGCATTGGAATCAACTAAGGATTACGAAAAACAACCTACTACTCCAGGAGAAACTTTGTTATTAATTACCGAAAACTCCAATAGAATTATACCCACTGCACCAAACAGAAAAAACTTATCAGTTAAAGCTAGGTTAAATACCAAGTCCGACATTTCTACTCAAGAAGAAAGTTTGGATGCAAGAGAAGATAATTTGAAAGAAACGAATGCATCAAGTAGAAAACTGCCAGGAGTCGATGATAACTTATGGAGCACCCCCAACTACAATATATTAACTGAAAAACAAAATTTGGTTGTAAGAGAAGACAGCGCAAATGAAGTTTTCTCAAATAAAGAAAATTTGACTGCAGAAGCTAACTTTTTAAGAAAACCAAAACCCAATTCTCATACTACGACGCTAGAACACATTTTGGATGCAAGAAAAGATGACTCTAAATTAAGTTCTTTATCAAATAATGAATATTCTGTTGTGGAAGTCGGTCAAACCACCAATAATAATATATCTACTCATACACATATTGTGGAGTCGACAAATAGGAATTCGGAAGAATTTACAACATCGAGCAGAGAGAGTTCGCAAGTAGATGCATGTGAAACATCTTCTAATAATATATTAACCCGTTTGGGGAAAGAAGAAAATTTGGAAGCGAAAGTAGAAAATTCTATAAAATTTACTGGTCCAACTAGAGGACAAACTACAGTAGATGTTAGCCCCTCAACACTCCTTAACAACAATTATAATATATATAATGAAGAAAATTTTTTTAAGACAAAAAAAGCAGATAATTCTAAGGATAATGCATCACAAGTCAGAGAACATTTAACAATCGACGAACAGATCAATAAGGAAATTATATTCGACATAGTAACGACAGACTCAATCCCAACAACAAAAAGTAATCAGCAAAATTATAGTTGTTTGGAACAAGAAAAATTTGAAAATAATAACTCTCAAAATCCATTAACTATTTATGAAAGTTCCAAGAGTAACATCGATTGTTCACAAGAATCGGCTAAACCTACCAAAGCTAAATCGGTGAAGGAGATAATTGATTCTATAAATCGTAGCCAGCGATTACTCAAAGAAAGCGCAGCTAAGGGTACTATCCAATATTCAACGGCATTATATTCTACAACTAGTGTATCACCAAATAATAATCATAATAAAAGGGAGGTAGTTGAGAATGATAATTTGGACAGTTCTTCCTGTGAGAATCATTTAGATATGAATGAACAAAATTTTAAAAAAAATAAAATAGATAAGATTGTTTTCCAATTTAGAGAGTCCTCGCCGACAGCGTCCAACTTGGATTGGAATCCTGTGCCAAAACCAAAGAGGATTAATAGTAATTTATTAAGTAAAGATATAAATGAACTATAATGATACTCGTTCTTACTATGTATTGTTCACAGTCGAACGTAAGAACTCAGAACAAGTGTATATTTAAATTATAATATTAATACAGTTCTGGTTCCTGTTATACTTTATATATATACAGCTGGAAGATGAGCTAGTCATGGTACCATTGATTTCAATATGTTTTTAATATAAACAAGAACACATGAAATGAAAAACATCAGAAAATCAAAATTACGTTTTGTGCAATATACCGTTTGTCAAGAAACTTTTTACACACTGAACAAAAAATACAATTTTTGACACAAGATGCAAAATTAATGGCCTTTAATTCAAATTAATGAAATTTATTTAATGGTAAATTGTTTAATAATATTTATTGATTTAAATTATAAGAAAAATAACAAAACTAAAAATGTATAACAAAACAAACAACATAAACTAAATTTACTTATTTCTTAAGCTGTTAAGAAACTGTTTACATAAAACACTTTGATTGTTCTTAACTTAAAATAGAGAGCAAATCAGGCTAATTTTAATATTCAGCATGACCCGGATCACTTAATACGTGCTGGAGGCGTTGTCTAATGGAATGGACGAACTCCATTAAGTATTCAACAGGGAACATTTATCACAGCTTTTAGCTGTGCGGTTCTTTGGATCGAGACTCTGGGGTGGTGTATTTATGACCTTGCCGTACATTAATATCCCTATGCATCTTTTATACATCTTTACAATTTAGAGGAACTATAAAATCTAGTTCTCCGACTCCTCGCCTAAAGATGCACCCCCAAACCGCAACGGAGAGCTTTCCAAATTTCACTATTGGAATGATGTTTTTGCTTTCCAATGCAGTTAATGACTTGTACAATACTCTGGATGTTCACAGCAAAATTAAAGCCCTTTTCTACATTTACCAATGAAAGAAGCGGTTTCTTTCGTGCAATTCTTGAAGAGTTCATATGCAGTAGGATGGCATGGCGTCCTGTTCAATATGACACATCTTAAAGCTTTAATAAAAGTTGCTTTAGTTGCTGTTTATTTTGTTATACATTTTTAGTTTTGCTCTCTTTTTTATAATATTATTCAAAACATATTATTAAACTATAATACATTAAAATATTTTCATTAATTTTAATAAAAGGCCATTCATTTTGCACCTAAAATCAAAATTGTATTTTTTCAGTGTTTCTTGACAAAATATACATATATTTACATACCTAGCTTTCAGCATGCAATTTTTTAAATTGTTCTTAAAAATATAATATATTTATATGCTGGAATGATTAGTCTATATAATAGTCTATCTAAATTGTTATTATAATTAAAGAGTAAGCAATAATAATTGATGCAAAGAAACGATTAAATTAACATTAACCTGCTTAAAGCATATTTAACTAAAAGTATACAAGTGAGTGCTTATTTTAAGGGCCAGTGGTTTTCATAGTTCCATGCCATCTGAATTAAACACCAAAAATGGATTACAACAAGCAACTCCTAAACTTGAAAATAGTTGCAAGATGATTATTAATCTAGCTAAATTTTAAATTTCGGTTGAATCCTCGGATCCACCCTCGTGTTCCTATTTTGATTCTTCGGTTTTTTTAACTAATAACTAACCGAAAATGCAAGTGACTGTAGCTTGAATCAAAATCTAAAAAAAAATCAGATGACAAAGATGGCAGATCATGTCCAAAGTTGCCACATTTACATCGACTATCGGGATTGTAACTGAGTTATCGGCTGGAGATCCGAATCGTATAAAGCAGTACAATGTCCAATAATTCTTTCGGCACTTGAGGATTGATTGATGGATTATTTCGAAGGTGTAATAGTTCGTCACCGACTCGTAAGTGTCCAATCTCCACCACTTTCCGATCAGTTGTTACTAAAAATATGATATATATGCATATACAAAAACAACTATTCATTGTGGAACTTGGCTGGAACACCGAATATGCGGATAGATGGGTACCAAAAATTACATGAGCATTTTAAATATTGGTGGCATATTAATTTTGTATTTCTTTTTTTACGTCTCCCTTTTACTATTGGTCTACTCCCAAATAATATATCAATAGTATTTTATTAATTAAAAAATCTCTAGTCCGAAGGTGACCGACTAGGTGATATGCTAAACCCAGCACGCTGTGTGTTTTTGAATATTTTTCATTGCATTAAACAGAAGAAAAAGTTTCATTAAGATTCGAACCATAAGGAGTCGAACCAACATCCTCTAAACAATGCGCATTACCTCTACCAACAAAGTCACTTCAACCAGAAAAAGAAAGCCCGACGTCGTCTGTCGTTTAACTCAGAATTCCTGGGTAATGTGCACTGTCACTTAACTTTTTGCCAGAAAGTTGGAAATCCATACTAAAGTAGCAGAAGAAAAGTTGAAGACATCGCAATCGCACATAGATGCACATTTTGCTTTTAATTTCTGCGATACTTAACAGATTTCAAATGTTAATTATCTGGTCTTCACATTCTGCTTAAACTAAACTAAAAAAATGAAAGTTTTTTCGTGTTTCCGATATGTTTTTAGCTCACATCAAACGGCATATTAAATAAAATGAAAAAAAACCATCATCGTCGCTGGACATAGCTCCCATTTATTTTCTACCACACGAATCACCGCTACCATTGGTGCATTCTCATTATTAACATATCAAGTGGCAAATCCTTAAGAAACAGCTGTGCACATGATTTTGCCCATTGACCAGACATTTTGCTCAATAACTTCTGTGTTACTTTCGATTTCAATGTTCAGTATTTTATCTACATATATTGGAGTACTTATCTTAGTAAAATGAAATCTTTTCCACATATTAGCAATTGAAATTCATTATACATTTATATACGTTTTAACAAAGTTCTGATTTCTCACTTAGGGTATAAAAATACTTATCCACGACATAATCATTGCTTAAATCACATCCGATTTAAACTTTCATCTTCTTTCATCTAAATCAAAAATGGAAAGATAGCCACAACCATTTTATTAATTTTCAGTGAAATTAAGTCTTTATTAAGTGTCATAAAGTGTAAAAGTTAAATTAAGTACCATCTAAAATTTAATATAAGTACATATGTTGGAATAAACTAAGGTGTCTGTGAAAAATAAAAAATTTATATTATTGACTGAAAGTATATTATATGATTCGTCTTGGATGATTTATACCCGGAGTAGGATATTTTTGCTCCCTGTCAACGCAACTGGAGGGACAAAACTGTCAATGAAAAATTCTTACAAATAATTTTGTATTTATATAAATTGTTTGTTTTTCATTATTAATAGTTCCCCAGCTTTATTCAAGACGACTGAAATTAATTTTATAATTTTGAGATATTTGTAGTTATTAAATGGATATCAGCACTTTATTAATACTTTGCAATCAATTTTAAAGACTCAGCAGCTTCACTGAAATGAATATGCTGATCACACATATAGGTATTTATTTATTTATTCTTCGATTTCTCTTATCGTCAAAAATTAAAATGATGTGTTGTGTTGATACAATAGTGCGTTCTTTGAGTATCCTTCAAATCAGTACAGTCAGCAATAAAAAATTGTCTGTTGCTTTGAAATTATTATTGCACCTTTATGTGTTAAAAGATTTCTATCTGTTTATTCTAAGGTCCGTCAGTGGAATTACGCCCTATTGAGTACATATGTACATACGTTTTGCTCATCCTATGAATACCTAGTACGCCCAGATTCAAAATGAAATCTTAATTTAGGAATATATATAATTATTTTTACACATAGAATGTCTTTAAAAACTTCTAATTGTTTTTGCCATATATTGGTATGTACATTATATTATATTTAACTAAATTATAAATCTGAACACGGTCTCAATCAAAATTAAATGCTAAACTATGTTTGAACGTACTTTAAATATTCTATCATAATATTATGGTACAGTTTGTAAGCTTTTGAATATACCACGAGGTTTGCGTCGTTTTTTTTATTTATATATTTTTTATATTTATATTTATGCGTTTAGTTTATTTATGCCAATTGAATAGAAAAGTACATTCCTTCCATGATTTAGCAAGTGATTTGTGATTATATTAAATATTGTATTAATCTTATCAACTTAATTTACAATACAAATAGGAAAACGATATAAAGTATAGTTACAACTATATACTTTTACATTATTCCTTGATGACAAAAACTAACATTGATTAAAAGACTATTACAAACTAATACTATTTACCTTAACTTTCCCCATCACATGCAGCAGAGATGCAAAATGATAACTTATACAATCCCGATTTAAAAATATTATCTACGATTTTTATACAATAAATATGTTTTCATAGACTGTGGAAGCTGTAACTGTTGTATACGCTCTTCCAAGTTTACTCGACCAATTTTCTGTCGAATTGACCTTCGACAAAGATCCATTAATGGTAAAGGTTCAGCTGGAATACAAATGAAATAAAAATTAACACGAATGTATCATATATATATAATTTTAAATTGTCCTCATTTTGAAGACGCTTGAACCATACCAAAGAAAGTTCTATACATTTATAAGCTATTCAAATTTAATTGAAATAAAAAAATTCCAGAAATATACAAACTATGATATAAAAATAACTTGATTACACTCAACATTACAAATAATAAATTAAATTTTACTTACGATCAAGTCCACCGATATAGCGCATTGTTATCTCGCAGTGTCCCCATACAGCAGAGACAACTGGATATAACTTTTTTCCTTTGAGGCCTTTAAATGCAATGCCTAGGTATTGCTGATCAACAATAAAGCTTAAAGTTCCTTCGTCCATATCTAAAGCAACTAAGAATTTGTCTGGAACCAAAAAAGCTTCATCATTTTTTAATATTGCTGGATATGTGACACCGGCAGAATTCTTTGAGTCGTGATACAATTTGTTTCTACCCAAGTCCCAACCCCAGCTCTGCTCCGTAGATCCAACTAAGCTCTGGTACCCAACAGAGTGTAATGGTGCATCACCTGATGCAACTCCCACAACTGCGTGAGTACCCCTTTGCCTTGTTGGCCAATATATCTCCCACACATGTAGTCCTTTTGTAAGTCCCACTTTTCCGCGAATGCAATCAGTACTTTGCGCGACGGGATGTCTGTGAAATGTTAACTTATCGTCTTCTTTCACGAATATATTTAACGATCTGTCCTCCGAGTTCCACGAATGTTTCAGTTGAACTTCTCGGTTTGCTGGTGGCATATCCAGCAATATATCAATCCGAGCAGGTTTTAAGAAATCAGCTTGCAGTTCTCTTGGTATAATTGGTTTAAACGTCGCCTGAGAATCATTACGGTTAACTGTTTTAACACCGCCACTAATTTTTTGACCCATGTTCATGCCACGGCAGCTTCGAGATCTCCTTTGGTCAATAGCAACTTTATAAGATAATCGAAGACGTTCAAAATCTCTGGGTTCTAAACGAGATAACACAACCCGTGGGGATAGTGTAGATGATGCAGAAAAACTTTGAGGACGTCGCCTATCACTTGACCTAACTGAAGGTGTCCGACCACCCTTATACCTGAAATGAGTCGAAATTTAAAATTAATTCACATATAAACAAAAATTCAAAAGCTTAAAAATAAATATACAATAACAATTACAATATCAACTTATAAACAATACAATAAATACATAAGAAAGATTTTACTTATATGCAGATATACATACATACACACTCATAAAGTGTGTATATTACAACTATATACACCTTATATATTTGTATGTGCATATGAAATTTTATGAAAATATAAATTTGCACATTAATTCATAACGAAATACATTTCTTTAATAAAATACATATAATATTATAAGTATCAATTAAATTCAAGCAGACATAATTAGATGTATATTCTCACATACAAACACGTACACTCACCACACTGCAGTGCAGTGCAGGGAACATACACAAGTTTAATTTAATTATCAGTTTACATATATTTTTATGCTATATATATATATATATATATATATATATATATATATATATATATGTATATATGTATATATATATATATATTTATATATGCATATATATATATATATATAAACAAGTGTTACCTTTTTTTCCCAAGTTCCATTTACAATAACTTTAACTTGGTGTTCCAAATATATAAATACAAAATGGCGGCAGCTACGGGACTTCACTAATTTACGGTTGCTGCACATATAATGCAGTTTTATTTATTTGTGTATGTATTTTAGATATAACATATGTTATATATATATGCGCGTATGGTGATTTAAAAAATTTATTTTTCTTAGTTTCTTCACTTCACCTTCTGTACTCAACCCCGCTTACCAAACTGCCATATAAGTTGTCAAGGTTGCTTATACACATATATACACATGTACTTGATTTTGTATATCGTTATCACAGGGTGAACCAAACTATACAAAAATTTCAACTTTACGAACACTCTGTGAAAAGAGGCATAGCTGCACGACGCAAGTGCTCATATGAAAATACAATCGCATTCTTATCGAACATTTTTTTGGTTTTTTAAGAAGTGCTTATCGAAATTAAATATTAACACGTCGAATAAACATAGACACGGCCTAAAAAAAAATTATTTGCATTCATTTCACGGATCTAAACAGTAAATCTGAAATGCCCAGATTAAAAAATTAGTCACTAAATATTTTCAATGCGTTCAGGAGATAAAATTTTGTTAATTGATGTTAAATTATTATTTTTTGGTTATCCGTCCATATAAACGTAAACTTCTTCGTCGCTAGACTTTAGCGAGAGGCTTGACATAAAAAGTCGATGTTTGTATGTTGTAGTTTTGCATTGCAAGACCAATCCATGATGGTATTTTTGCATTAGACTTAGGCTGCTATTGTCACACAAAACTTATCCGTCACTTAACTTTAAATGAGAACCCGTAATAGGAATCTAGAAGATACTCTTAATTCTGCGGGATTCTGTTGTATTCTAACTTTCAGTAATAAGCTTGTTGATACCCTGAACCTTGACCGATCGCATTTTTAAACATACTATATAGGTTGTATCTTAAGCTCTTAGTTTTGGTGTAATATTTAAATTATAGCTTTTTATATATAACAATAGGGGTGAAATGGTTCGGACGGACGGATATGTGTACAATACCAAAATACTAATTAAGTTCGAACGTAAAGAACTTGGTCTTCTAGATAATTTTAAATAAATTAACAGAGATTTGAAACATTAATATAAATATCAATTCTTTATTGTTGGCAGAATTTCTTAAATGCATCTCATAAAATTGACTTGTCATAAACGATGATTGGTATCTCTGTTTTGTAAATAATCCCCTCAAAAATTACGGAAATATGTATAGTATAGTATGACTAATTTAAAATAAGCGACTTTTTTATTTGAATGGGAATAAAAAAATTTGATGTAAAACTAAAAACTTAATACATTTTATACTTGAAATATGTACAGACTGACTTCGATTTTAGAACGTGCGATATAATTAGATAACTGAACTTATACATTTATTCTTAATAAAAACGGTAAATTATCGAACGTACGTTAAGGATATATGCCTTTATAGATACTGAGAGACAAACCTAAATCTAATCGACTCCACCTCCTTTTGCTTGCAACATACATTTTCAAATAACATTATTAGATTAGATTAAAATATATTTTTCGGCCACTTTTTTTTATTTAAATGCTACAATCTATATTTAAAATAATATGTTTCAAATTACTCCCATCCATAGGAAGTTAAATATGAACCTTTATATGTCTTTTTCTACCTTTCGCAACTATAGGGAATCCACGACGGTCGTTAAACTATTATGAAAATACTGTCCAATGTTTAATCACTTGATTTGTTTAGCTGAGCTGAGACAAGTTACAAGATATTGGTTACACCTGAATTAAAGCAGGCGAAAACAACATAAATATTACAAAATATTTATGCCATGGTTCACTCTTTTATTTTTGATGATCATGTTAATTCATTAAATTGAAAAAAAAAAATTTAATTATTAAAATTATTGTTTTATAATATGCCTAACCAGATTCTAGGTAACTATTTTAAGTGTATATATTCAAATTAATAAACGAAAACCAAAGTAAAAAATTTTTCCGCGATACCTCTGGACCTTTGGTATAAAGAACGAATGAGATCTGGAATCCATTGAAATCCTCCAAAAATTAAGATATATAGGCTTATTGACTTCGAAATATACTGAATTCAACAGAAGAAATGGATTTCTTTTAAGTTACATGGTTGCATGGACCTTTTTTAGACTTTAACATAGTTTTAATAAAATTATAATTTAGCATAGAGCAATTAAAGTTAAAGTGGTAAACTATAAACCATAACAACGTATATCTTATTTGACCAAAGCGTGCGATGAAACATAACTTAGTCAAAATACTTTTCTGAACATACACTTATACTGTCGCCCGAACCCGCACCTCACAAAAAAAACATCAACTGAAGACTACTGTTCAGGACTGTCAACATCTTAATGTTATTAATTTCCAAACGAAGCAAAAACAAAGCTTGTATGACGAACTCTTTTAGCTGACTTTACACGATGAAGTAATAAAGTATGATTTAAATAAGTATTAAGTATAAGATTTAAATATGGATATGGACATCGCACGTTGAAATATGGTATCTTTTAAGTGATAAAAATATGAAAACTTAGTTTAGTACACGAATAATTATTTCATGCTTAACATTTAATTTTGAAACATTAAATTCATAACTGATCAACCATATTTGTAATATTTATAAAGGATTATTATTTAAAATTATTATTTAAATATTGTATTTAGGTAAAAGAAGCAAAACAAACGCTTTTAAAATCACTTAATGTATGCACTTACAATTAAACAATTATATATATATATATATATATATATATATATATATATATATATATATATATATATATATATATTTGTGTGTATGTATTTATATATATATTTCTGCTTATTGGCACACAGATATTTAAAAAAATTCGCATTGCACATACTTTACAACTTTGTGATAATTTGTAAGAAAAAACATATAATTTGCGTTAATACATAATGGAGAACTGATTGATGCAATCTAATTTGTCTGGTATACTTTGTTTTTATGCAGACCTCATAATTTCAGTATATATGTGTATACTTGAAATATACATATATTTTTTTATCAAGTCTGCTTTGTGCCATAGATGCCAAATAATGATAAGTTATTATAAAATTGTGGATATATAGATACACCAGTTAATGAATTCATATTACGAAAATATTATTCACTTACATTACTTCCGTCAATTTTACTTTCTCCTTAAAAAAAATCAAAACAACGATAGCTCACAATGAAAGAACGTAAATCTATGATTCCACATCGAAACGAATGGAATCAATACAAAAAGTATTCATTTCTCAGTGGTATTCTTTCGATTATTTTAGTGTTAAATGACATAATGTGTTTTACGCAAGTATGACAGGCAAATTATATATTTGTCGGAATATGTCATTTTGTTTTTGGCACATAATTTTTTATTATTGAAATGACAAAATAAAAGCTTTAATTTTCAATCTACCAGATAATAACTATTATAATAAGAATATTGACATCTTTCAACAATCGGCAATTTCTTCAAATTATTATAAAAAATTTTTAACTTGAAAAGGATCAAATCTGTAACCCTCACAAAAACTGTTAACTAGGACATTACCTTAATTTTATTTAGTCACATCCATACCATTGTGTATGGAGTGCACTAATCTCGCAAACTAAAAAGATAAAGATTTGAAATGTGAAAATAATAAGCTCTGTCGGCAACCTCGAATACTTTAAGCATGCATTTAATTAAACGTATCTACAATTTTTGTTAACTAAACGTATACCTTTACAGTTATTTTCGTTCATTTATAAATTTCATATGAAACTTAATAAACTTCCGGATTAATTATAAAAATCCTTAAAGCTTGAATGCGCCTTATCGATAATTTTGGTATGTCGACAACATTGTAATGTGAAATTCTTACGAATCATTGATTATGATTATAATTATAATTACCTAATAAATTATTTTAAAAAAGTTTTAATTGTAAACATTAAAAGATAAAGACTAATAAGAGAAATAGTTGACTTAAAACATATTAAACATTATTTATTTATAAAATTTAAATTAGTAGGAATACCCCTATTCACAGTTAGTAATCAGCATAATAACTGAATTGAGTTTCCAGTTCGTGAACGACTGAACTAAATAATTGCCATAAACATATCATATGGAATAAGAATACAATTTCGCCAACAAATTCGATTATCGCACAATGCAAAATGGTTCAATCTTCCAGTGATGATCTCTACACCATTCTAGAATTAGATAGGTATAATTACTATACAAATTTTTAAAATTTTTCTATTAACTTTTACAAATTTTAGCCGATATTATGGTTTCCTTGATTTGACGGATCCCAAGAATAATGGAATTAAGGATCTTATTCAACAAACCATTACCGTTTTGCAAGATGAGGTGGCCAGCTCGCATTCAATAAGTATAATTAAACAACGGGATGGACAACAAGCAAATGTAAAAAGTGATGGATCTATCAAATATGAGGAACATATAAAGGAAAACTCTGGCACATTAGAGTCCAATATTAAAGATTCAAAATTAAGTGTGTCAAATGAAATCACAACTAAGGGAAATCTCGGAATCGGAGAAGTTGATATAAACACCTACTGTAAACTCGGTCATTTACATTTACTGTTGTCAGAATATTATGAAGGTAATTTTACCTTTTACTGAAGGGATGATACATTTAAAATGCATTAACAGAGTAAAATAGTTTTAAAAAAATTGTCATCACGATTTGACATTCTTAAAGCGCATACTAAATTCACACAAAGCAAATATTGATCTTACTATATATATATATATATATATATATATATATATATATATATATATATATATATATATATATATATATATATATATATATATATTTAAGATAAATTCAGATTACACGAGTTGTTTTTCAGATTTAACTTTAATTATAATTTGCATTTGTAAATTATTGTTTAGTTTGCTGTCGCCATGTAGCGCCTTTTTGTTCGTTTATTCGAGGCGGTGATGTGTTATTTCAATATTAAATGAAACGATTCGGTAAGGCTGATGTAACTAAACACTTTCACCGCAATGTTAGCCGTTCGTCGAAAGTAATTTGTGGCTGTTTGGAGTATCAGTTCTCCGTGTGGAGAAACACGTGTCTCTTCATAATGTGTATGTGACGATTACACTCCTTTTTTATTGACGGGTTTCGAGTAAATGGAGGTATTCTTTAATGATATTTAATATGAATATAATAATTTTTTCCTTCTAGCTCTTTCTGCATATCAAAAGTATATGCGATTATGTGAAAAATATTGGAATAACCACAGCTTTATATATGGACTCGGAATCGTTTACTTCGAATTTCGCTGTTTTAAATGGTAAGACAAAAATGTTTATATTACATATAGTCTTTAGATACTAGTTATAACGCTAGATATTCTGAATTTAAGGTAAATACAATATTTCCAAATACAAATGTTTCAGTTTGGCGATAGATAAGGATATAGCACACCAAAAGTATCACATTTGTAAGATATTAGTCGATTATCTTAAAATAATAGTTATTGCTAATTAATAGAGGAAACTAAATGAATTAGTGTATTTGTTTTATTCAATGTTTGTCTGGTAACAGGCAGAAGGAGGTTTGGCAGACCCCATTAAATATATATATATTCTTTATCCGGACAGTCTGCACATTAGTATGAACTCCTCGATCTCAGAGCCAATAAGAGCTAGACAAATACACATAAGTTCGCTTATATCACCTGCATATCAATTTTGTTTCAAATAGTCGATACATATTCACGTTTTATTACTTTTGGGTCATGTTAAATTTCAATAGAATATGAAAATTTCATTAAAATCCTTTAGAAAGAGAAAACCTAAACAAGCGTATTTTTCACATACAATTGAGTGTGCATTTTTTTGCATTCAAATAATCGCGATTGCGATTGATTTGTTTTTTAATTATAAGCTGCTACTTTAGCTTGCAATTGTCACTAATCAAGCAAGCAGTAAATCGGCGAGGTTGGCAGACGCAATGCGCATCGTCAAGAAGTTACGAGTTCACTTCTTGACGATGCCTACCTTTTTTTTCACAAAACTTGTTATTTTAATGTGATTTTTTAGTTGAAATTTGTGAGTTATCTCTCCTACAAACAGGATGTGTATCATTGGGTAACGTGAATGCCTTAGTAAAGCTAGAGGAAAAAACTAACTTATCATGTTCCTTACTTTAAAATATTTTTGACATTAAACTAAAGAAGGAAAAAACAAAAGTTGTGACTACCAAAACTTTGCAGAGGTCGTCATAAGCATTTTACTCCACCAAAACTTAATGTGTTTTACGCACATTATTGGGTTGTTTATGTATCATAATTGGACTTGATAGTATTAAGCAAAAGGATGCATTATAGATGCCATAAATTACATTTGTTCTTGATTAGGGAGGCGAGCTATATAATTGCAGCAATATCGTGAACTCTTTCAAAGTTAGAAGTCAACCAATTTCATTATTATCAATAATCGAATTGGTATTTCAACTATATCTTAAATATAGAGATCCCTGTGAAAAATACAGATATTATGAATATTTTGCATTTAGTTAAAAAATTAAAGCAAAAATGTATCTTTCGCGCATTTGTTTGTTATAATTGCATTATTATAATGAAATGTCGATAAATTAATACATTTAGAATCGAAGATATTTAAAAAAAAAATTTACATAGGAGAGCAGTACGCAGTAATCTGCGCGGTTGCTTAGGCATACATGTGAATTTATGTGTATAATAAAGGATAATTTGAAACTCCTGAATAGAAAAATTATTTTTAATTCTAGCTCAGTCAAATATTTTTGAAAATCTAATTGTTCCATTTGTGATGTTGTTCCTTTCGATAGACTACTGCATTTTTACCGATGTATCGAATGGGTCTACTATGACGTATCGATCTTTTTACACAGTCGTATCATCACTAGTCCGTAAATTAAAAATATGGAATTATGGATGTGTATTGACTGTGTAGTTTTTATATTAATTTAAATGGAAACACTGCCAAAAATAAACTGTCACAACTGTAAAAAAAAAAAACTAGTACAAATTAAATAATACAAGTTTAATAAATTGACATACAGATCGAAAATTTTTTAAGTAAGTGTGCCCTATCTGTAGTCGTGCAAAGGATACATATGTGTAATTATTCACTTAGTTGCATATACCTATATTTATGTAAAAAACTAACAGTGATTATTTGTATGTACATGTTTGTATGAATATAAGCAACTGAGCAGTAATATCGTTTAGTAAACAAGGGCATATGAATATGAACTTTATTTTCCTGTCTGTGAAAAAAGGCACATTTGCTATTCATGTTCTCGTTACTCCAACTTTTTTTTAAACTTTCAATTTAAATTTGTTAAAGAAAATAATTTCGTACTTTAATCGCCATTTTAATATAGTTGGATTGTTAAAATAAATACATATGACTATTAAGTTCTGAAAATTCCCTATAATGTTAATAAACCATTTATTTTACCAAAAAGTTGTAAGCGATTTATGTATTATTCTTTTTTATCAAATGAGAACGATTAAAATAAATTCTAATTTCATAACAACAATTAACAAACCAAAATTGCAGACATTTATATGGACGGCTACTCACTTCACTCATCAATGAAATAGAAACATAAAAAAAAAATGAAGTGTTTATATGATTAATTATAAATATTCGAATAAGGGGGATGCATATTCTTCAAATACATAAATAAATGCACTTACTAAAAAAGTCATATAAATTACAAATTGATTTGAAGCAGCTATGTTGGTAGTGAATATGTCATATTTATTATCACAATTTAATGTAATGAATTTGAATAAACTTATATAAAACGTTTGAGCAATAAACTTATATTTTTTTTTATTTATTTTTAAGGTCAATTAAACTATTCCAAGAACTTTTATACTTGAACCCATATTTCATCTGTGCAAATGAAGCCCATCTCCGTCTAGGACTAATGCTTAAAGTTAATGGCGATTTTCGTAGTGCACTTAAACATTTACAGCTGGCGTTAGCGGATGCATCGCGCTCAACGTTTTCGGATCTGCAAGGTAAATGATAATGGGGTATTTCTTTTAAATTTGAAATACAGTTTAATGCCTCTATTAATATATATGTATATAAAAAACACTTTTAAATATGTATGCGTTAACTATCGAATGTTTTTATAGACTTGTCCAATTCTTTATTTATTTAATAATTAAATATTAACCGTTTATAATATAATTAATGGCTTTTTCAGTTAAATTTCAAATAGCTCATCTGTATGAAGTACAAAATAAACACAAGGCTGCAAAAGAATCCTATGAATTTATCTTAAATGACAAAAATATATCCTTGGACTTAAAGGCGGACATATACAGACAATTAGGTAAGAATGTTTTTAACAAAAAATTTGAAAGATTGCATTGATTTAGCGAAATTTTTCCAAAATTAATGGACCAATTCCTGTTGCAGAAGCCATTATCAGAATCGAGATCATTACCCCTGCCGACACAACTCCAACTGCAAATGCCAAATATTAGTGTACAAATCAAATTAATTCATTACAGTACAAGTTTTAAATGATTATATTAAATGGCTTAACACTATCCTTGCACAGTTTTACGATTTTGCAATTACATCGTTCTTATTGTTCAACGTAATACTTAAAATTTTAAGCAGGGCGTTATTGATATATATATATATATATATATATATATAACCGCATAAATTAATTGATCTCTGCACCCCTAATTGAATTTATTATAGAATTATGTTGTCTATATGAACCTGAACCCACTGAATTCAGTTTACAATGGTTTTGTGAACATGCGTATAACAGTTAGTTATAACGTCCTGACTAGAGCAGTCTTGTTTGTCAAATTTACATATTTTCTAATTTAATTGACACTAAAATACAACAATGATAGAAGATACTGAATGTATTTTTCGATTATTATGTGATGGTATTGCCTTGCTTATTATGTAAGAAATAGTCTTTCAAAACATAGGTGAATTATTTTTTTCAGACTTCAATATATGATCTCTGAACAGCTCTAACACATTCGGCTGATAACCTGCTTTAAATTAATTAATTAATTAAATTAATTCTATAATATATAAATAAGAAGTTTCTCGATTTTCAGGATGGATGTATCATTGTGTCGAATGCCTAGGCGAAAAAAAAGAACGTGAATCGAATGCATTACGTTTTTTACAAAAATCAATTGAAGCAGATCCAAAGTGTGGACAATCATTATATTTATTGGGGAGATGTTACGCTGGAGTAAATAAGGTTCATGATGCGTTTCTAGCCTATAGGAATTCTGTTGAAAAAAGTGAAGGGAATGCAGACACCTGGTGCTCAATCGGGTAATACAATTTCTAAATTTTCTTAATGAGCAATCATTACTTATTAATATGTATAGTGTCTTATATCAACAGCAAAATCAACCAACTGATGCACTCCAAGCATACATATGCGCAGTTCAATTGGATAAAGAACACAGATCGGCGTGGACAAATTTGGGAATTCTATATGAAAGTTGCGGGCAATTGCGAGATGCATACGCATGCTATTTAAATGCGGTTAAACAAATATCAAACCAGGTATACATTTTTTTAATTTAAGACTTTAACAGATGATTTTGCCAATTGAGAAGATTTTCGAAATCTTTATACATGAAACATAAATACTTATTTGAACTTTTCTAAAATAGAAAATAAACATTGCCCGTGAAGGAAGTAAGCCTATATTATTTACAAGTAGTACAAATGGACTAACAAAGGGCATATTACAACGAGTAAAATTCCTGGAAACCCAGCTTAACCAAGCACCACTGCCAAGTATTACATCTAAACGACGCCAGCTTTGTTCAATTGAAGAGGCGTGGAACCTTCCAATATCATTAGAAATAAACTCTCGTCAACAGCAAAACGTTCAAATGCAGCACAGACAGTATGGAAAGAACTCATCTGTACAGGCAAGTTTCTAATTATCGTTACATTTCTTATTTTAAGGTCGCCGACTAAAAGGCAACGCATATGTCGATGTACTTCAAAGTTATAATAATATACTGTTTAGACTTGCTCGAAACCGCAGAGTTTATTGTATTGACAGTAGTAGTACTACACCAATTTTGGATGAAATTCTTTTGTTTTGTACATAAAAAATATCCCTGTTTTTCTTAATATCCAGGACTTGTAATTTTCGTTCGTACATAATCTTATAGTGCAGGAGGTGCAATTTTTTATAATACATTTTGGTAAATTATAATTGAAAGCAACTTTTTTTAGTAATACGATTTAAATGCTTTTCTTATGATATTTATATAAAGGGACCGCCGCCACCCTACCCACACGGAAGTCAAAACAATCCAACACCTGCAAAACGAGCAAAAGATGATACCGAAATGTCCGAAATTAATCTATCAGAGCAACGGGAAATTAATACACCGCAACTTACACAACAAAATCAAAGAGTATTTAATGTACAGAAAGAAAAATTTGGACCACAGCTAACCACTTCATACCGCCAGCCCCTAAATGACAGCATGTCTTCATTAGGAACATCAGTAACACATGGAGGTGATGTAACATCTGTAAAGAAAAATACATTTTGTTCAGAAGTATTATCAACTAAAATCATAAAAGAAGAATCAACAGATTTAGAAAGAAGTTTTTCTTCAAATGATCAGGTTTCATTAGGTATGTGTATTACCATGTAATAAGTTTTTATGTTATCTGGTGAAAACTATTTTATTATTTTCGATTAAAGCATTAAAATTTTTGTATAGAGTGGGATGTAGTGTTATTAATTAAATATACATTTCTTTATGTGCTTTATGCTTAATAGACCAGTCATTAAATGCCTGCAATCAAAATATTTTGACGGAGTTAGTTGAAGATCACAACGAAAGCTCGGCTCATAACGATGATAGCAAAACCCCCATTAATTATGAGAGCTTAACGCAAATCAATGATTATAGTCAGAATATGCAGAAGACCAAAATTGAATATGATCAGGATCCCGATGCATCACCAACATTTAATATACAAATGGAGTCTAAACAATTGTGGTCAGCAGTACAACTTTTGCCGGTTCATGAGCCACCGATAAGTTATACAGTTCTATTGAGAAGTGCACCTCCGCCAGCGCCACCGGACTGTCCGCCACAGAAGCTTTCAAGGGAACAGCTCTTACCACCAACTCCATCGGTTCACTTGGAAAATAAAAAAAATGCTTTTAGCCCGCAGTTGCAAGAGTTTTGTCTAAAGCATCCTATTGCAGTTGTACGTGGGTTAGCTGGTGCTCTTAAGTTAGACTTGGGACTATTTTCAACTAAAACGCTTGTCGAGGCTAATCCGGATCACAGCGTAGAAGTCAGAACCCAAGTAAATCAGTCTCCTGATGAAAACTGGGATATATCTCAAGCTAAAAGAGTTTGGGCATGTATATCACATCGATCTCATACAACAATAGCAAAATATGCTCAATATCAAGCATCAAGCTTTCAAGATAGTCTAAAGGTAAAAAACTAAGCTTCATATTATTGTTTAAGCATCGGAAAATTAATGTTTGCAATATCAAAATTAAGGATGAAGGCGACAAAGGCTCTGCAGGATCCCAAGTGATGTCTGATTCCGATTCGAAGGACTCAGTATCTAATTCAAATATTAATTTAAAACGTAAAAAACCAAAAAACGGAAGTAAAATGCTAAGGTATTCAAATGCTATTATTATACATTAATTACTGATGCTATTATTAATCTTTTTATATATAGATTCGGAACCAATGTTGATCTTTCTGACGAACGAAAATGGAAACCGCAATTAAGCGAATTACAAAAGTTGCCTGCCTTTGCAAGAGTAATTTCTGCAGCCAATATGTTGTCTCACGTAGGCCACGTCATTTTGGGAATGAATACTGTGCAATTATATATGAAAGTGCCAGGGAGTAGAACACCTGGGCATCAAGAAAATAATAATTTTTGCTCAATTAATATAAATATTGGACCAGGAGATTGCGAATGGTTTGCTGTGCCCGATTCTTATTGGGGTGGTATTCATAATCTTTGTGAAAAAAATAATATCAGCTACTTACACGGCTCGTGGTGGCCAGTTTTAGAAGACTTATATAAAGAAAACATACCAGTATATCGGTTCATTCAGAAGCCTGGAGACTTAGTTTGGGTAAATGCTGGGTAAGTAAAGGGTATAAAAATTGGTTTTTACAAATATATGTACATATGTATATGTTCGTTTATCATGCACTTAAAATTAGTGTTGTAATAGAAAATGTTTCGTTTAATAAAAGTCCGTTTTATACCTTGAACCCATTGAAAAAGGCAATTGTGAAAATATATGAAGCAAGCAGAAGCCGGCGTGGCAGACTCCCTAAAGTATGTATATTCTTGTTCGGGACGACGGCCTGAGTCGACACTCGCCTGTCCGTATGAACGTAAAGATCTCGTAAACCCCAAAGGTAGAGACATGAAAATGTATATTCCTATATAAACGCAGTACAAGTTTATTATTTAGTATATTTTGGATTTTGTAAAAAATACTTTTCAAATACTAGAGATTTGTGCATATACATGCATATGGATGTCATCATATTGAACAATTAAGTTCTTATGGTGCAGCCATGTTGTAAATTCTGCAGTTTTATTAATATAAGTTTTCTTATTAGTTTTATGTGCATATTGATTATGCCAAAAGTTGCTCAACCAAATTGTCGCATTTTTCCCAATTTGTCAATTTTCTGTACTCATAAAACCAGTTTGGATTAAGTACCTTAAAAAATTTTAAACTTTTGCATAATATATATTTGAAAAGAACAAAAAATTAGGAAGTATGCGTCTTTTTTTGTTCATTTACATAATTTTGCACAGTTATTAACTAATGTATATTTTGTTGTTGTAATAAACATAGCTCCTATTTATGTATTTTAATCATTTCAGATGTGTTCATTGGGTACAGTCTGTAGGATGGTGCAATAATATAGCATGGAATGTTGGACCACTGACTGCACGACAGTATTCTCTTGCCATTGAGCGTTACGAGTGGAACAAGCTTCAAAGCTTTAAAAGTATTGTGCCTATGGTACACTTAAGCTGGAACTTAGCAAGAAATATAAAAGTTTCAGATGTCAAACTCTTTGAGTTAATAAAGTAAGTACGGATGTAAATTTAAACTCACACATGTAATTTGTTATAGTGCATAACGTCGAAGAAGTCTACGTTTGAAAATTAAGGTACTATAGACATAAAGATTGGCTATGATTAAAATGATTTATCAACTCCTACTAAGGGTGTGTTAAGTTGGAAATCTCATTTCTCGCTTATTTTAAGATCTCGACCAAATACGAATGTATTGCTTTTTTAAAAAATAGTATATAGTCGATCAAGTCAATTTTTAACTTTTAGGTTTCAACTTTCTTAAATTACTTTTTATCTTGGCACCATTAAACTAATAATTAGAAAACAATAATCTTGCAGTCGGTTGTTGCCGACTACTCGTTCACGCTATAAATGCTACCAACTCCAAATCTAGAAAATACTTCTTTTTCGATTTCCCACGCTTTCAAGAGGCAAAATGGCAATTGGCAAATCAATAGAGTAGGTAAACAGTAACTTAGTCTCAATTTTTAAAGCTAGAATACCCTTATTTGCCTTATACTTTTTTCTTATTACTGCACACTCAGAATGCGTGACCATAACATTCATTACACAATTTTCAGAAGAATTCTACAGTAACTTTGCTTTAAAATTTTGAAAATGGATTAGTAATTAAAACAAATTAAATTTAAAAAATCTAAATATGTATTAATATATTTGTTTCTGTATATATATTATTTATAGAATGTGCTTGTGTCAATCTTTAAAAAATGTTTTTCATATACAAGAATATGTGAAGTCCAAAGGAGTTGAAATACGTTTTAATGGCCGTGGAAAAAACGAGGCGTCCCACTATTGTGGACAATGTGAAGTAAGTTTTATATTTTCATTTATTATACAACAATATACTATTTTAGTGACTCGTTTGCATTTATTACACTGCAATACACTATTTTATGCAAGTTATTTTGCTCTAGTCTCCAGCAGAATGACAATTTTATGGATTCAAAATAAAAATATTCTTATCTTATAATATATATTTTCAATCTTCTAAGATTCAAACACCCCGAATCTTCCCAAGCTGGCTAGCTAGCAAGCTACTGCTTTAATTTCTATCGACTGTTTACTTGGGCATTTTATCGCTTTATAAAATTCTTTGCAACAATGATAATAGCTTTTTATATTGATTTTAATATATGCGTTCTTTTTAGGTCGAAGTTTTTAACGTTTTGTTCATAAGAGAGCAGGAGAAAAGGCATGTGGTTCATTGTTTACCATGTGTACTGAAACTATCACCATCGTTACAAGGCATTGTTTGCTTGGAAGAATACCGATTGTCAGAGTTGGAGCATGTGTACGACTCTTTTACTCTGTATAGAACTCAAGGACTTGGACAATCGCATTAATTAATTTAAGTAATGTAATATTCTTATTCTTTTTTTAAAAGTTTTACACTGTAAAATTATTAAATTGATGTAGGTCTCTAAAAATTTTTTCTATACATGGTCATTGTGTTTTATTTACTTGTTTCTGAGTTTGTCTTGCAGATAAAGGAATTTCACTGCTAATAGTGTCATCATCCATCCCTGTTTATATGTCAAAGCAGAAGTCTTTAGTATTTGGGTGTATCCCAAAAAGAAAACAAACAAAAAATCTTTATTCATTACAGGGATGTCCTAGAAAACGTGAAGTTTCTATTTGCAGTGATATTAAACTTACAATTGAAAAAACGAAATCGAATGTCTATTTCGTATTGTTACAGGAATTCACACTTTAAATTTTGAGACTACTTTTGTGGCTTACGAGATCGCTCCCTTTTTACGGGAGTTCTAATTAATATAGTATATATACATTACTTTTTATGTATTTATTTTCAATGGGTTTAAGGTATACAAAAATATTGTACTTCCATAAAAATAATGTAGATATACATAAATTATACGGGCAGAAGCAGACGTGACCGAGCATACAAAGCATATATTTTTTGATAAGCACTGACAGCCGAATCGATGTAGTCCTCTTTCCGTATGTATGCACGGGTTAATTTGAGAAATTTCACTAGACTTGACATTTGTATGTTAGACCACCTAAGTCACACGCAAATCTATTTTGATTGAAATGATCGATAACTTTTAATGTTTACATGAAATCGATTGCAAATTATTTTTAAATATATATATATATATAATAAAAAATATTAGGTTTACGTTTTTAAATGACTGGCTTAACATATTTGAAATCTTTTATGCTGGCAAGAGGGGTTCGGTCTATCGACTAGAGTATATTGCTTTTTTACAATTATCGCTTTACTAACGCTTTACTACGATACACATAAGACGGAATACCAGCTGTACCAGGTAACAGACTCTACCTGTTTTATGACTGCATCATACTGTTGCAACGGTATTGAAGAAAGACTGATAGCTGGTATTCCATCTTATGTGTATCCTTATTGCGAAAGAGGTAACTATTGCTGTTGCCAAGCGTAATTCCAGGTGTTACTGAGTAAGAGCGGGAAGACTATTCAGGGCATTCGGACAGGATTGGTATGATTGTCAGTGGATGTAGGAAACCATCGTGGAAGAGCGGCTTAACAAGTATTAATATCAGCAATTCAACGCTGGCCCGACATCAGCAGTTGGATCTGCACCACATCCTATATTTGAGATGAGCAGGGGCGTATGTTTTTGATTTTCAAAACCGGTATTTGGTGAAGTTTGCAAAAGATATGCAGCCATCATCACGTGAGAACAATATCGCAGTCAAATGTAAACACAGACAATTGATTCTTTAACGTTACGAAATCGAATGGTCAAAGAATATGTAGAATATTTCGTCGATGGAATGAGACCATCAATGATCAATCTCTAGACATCGCTGATGACTACCCTGTCAACGTCAATGACTTCATAAAAAGTGAGAACACCAAAGCAAGGACTAATGAATAGTTTAATAAGTGAGTTTAATTAATATAGCTGCAAACCTCGAATAGATCAATTATATTTGAAAGTAGTCAAACTTTATAAGATGTTAGATGTTTCGACTTACCACCATTGACGGACGTGCATTAACGATGATGAGAAGCTAGAGGATTTTGTCCACAATATTGAGCGGATTGAAGTCGGCTTGGAAGATATTAACAGAAATGTCGAGCTCATCGATAACGGCTTGGAACTTGGAAGATCTTAACACCAACGACAACTATAGGAAGATATTTCCAGCCAAGGAATTATATTTTCTTTTTTTTAATCTATGTATAATTATAATATCCACAAAGATGTTAAACTGTCCCTTGTTAAAGAAGAAATACAACTATATGCAAACAGATACATGAATAAACTACATAACCACGAGAATGCTCTAGCACTAAGACTACTGGATGACTCAAGCAACCACAGGCGACTCATGTCCTAGATCTGCCCCACAGAAATAGATAAATATGTAAAGTAGGTAAATATATGGAATGATCTCATTGTAGCCCATTGTTTATTATCTAGTATAAGACAGATTGCAAAAAAAACATCTACAAAAAAAAAAAAAAAAAATTATATTTTTGTTTTGTTGCTCGAAATTGCCGCCATCAAGTTTACTTCCATTTGGGCTGTAAAAGTTAAACTATTCTTCTTTATGAAGCGCGTGGAGCAAATTAATTTACGTTTTGGAATATGGAAAGTGGTTTTACTCGCAGTTCAATTTATTTCAACTCCATTGAAACATCGCGTTTATGAATCCTGATGATCAATACGAATTTTCAATAATGCCTTTTGAACTTAAAAATGCACCATTTGTTTTTCAGCGGGCAGTTATGAAGAATCTGGCTCTTTAGATAGCATACGAGAGCGGGATTTTCTATAACATTATGTAGTTTTTTGAACAGTTTAGTATAAAGTCTACAAGGTGAGAGCTAAAGAAATTCATCCAAACGCAAAATTATTGCATTAAGCGTATTGCCTCCCGCACGAACTGCCACTGGAGTGGGACAGTTTATTAGTCTTGCTGCCACAACTAAATAAGCCGTTATATTCTTTTACGTCTGGAAATGACAATATCGTTTGGAATTCAGATTTAAGTGTTAAGAAATGTGACTATCCTCAGAAGTAAGGACTTTTGCCCTACACGTCACCCTCTGGGAAAGTTTTAGTTGCACTTCATTCCATACCAAAGCTCAGTATACCGTGGCCTACTATTTATAAGGGCCATGAAGTATTCCATTGCTTTATTTGGAGTGCCATATTGTATCATACGATCGAGTAAATGCTTTTTTAGCTTAAGATTTTTGGAATTTTGCTTTTTAAATCTATCAAAAACTAAAATCTTATATAATATAATAGATTCCCTCTGAGGGAAGCAAATAGGACCATTCACGTAAGAAAAAATTATTTCTTTGTGCACAGATATACTTGGATAAAGAAACTTGTGGATAGTAGGACTTCATTAGAGAATAGAATCGTGGTAGAATGCCGTAGACTAACTCTAGAGAACGGAAAATAATATATATGGCCTCTATTACTGGGCTGGTTGTAGCTAGCCTAAGAATAAAGCGACATTCAATAGGCCGGTATATAAATTGTATATCGGATCAAGGACTAGTACAGAAAAAACCTATCGAAATAGCATGCAATGCTTCTATGCGAAAAACGCACAGCAAGTGTGGGGGCAAGCAGCAGGCGTACTGGTGGAACCACGATTTTTCGTTAAAAAGAAAAGTATGCAAACAGTGCAGGCGGAGTCCAACAAGAGTACGACACTTTAAAAATTACACAATAATTCGAAGAAAAAGGCTTCGGGACCAAAAGCGATCCTGACACACTATCGGTGTCTCACTAAATAAAGGTGAGAAAATGTTCACGGCTTCTTGCAGCAGAAGTTTTTGCCGGACTTAGTCCCATACAGCATGGATTCAATGCTCAAAAATTCACACTGGATGCTACCGTTGAAGTATTTTAGGAGACGTGATAGGTGGACCGTCCTGCTAGCTTTCTTGGAGGATCGTTTCCATATACCACAATATTTAATAGGCACAATCAGGAGTTACTTACAGGATTGAGTGCTGCTGTAGCTATGCAGACTGGTACGAAACGATATACAGAGACTGGACAGTGTACAAGGCTCGATCTTAGGACTGGATATGCCTAAATATACGTTTCAAGTTTGATATGCAGATAACAAAGCTACCATCATCATCTCCAGTGAGAGCGTCAACAAAAACTTACCCAAGTCATGATCCACACTCTGACGAGGCTTAGCTCCGAGGTTTAGAGCTTGCTAACAAAAAAAACCAATGTACTTTTGTTTTCGGGGAAGGAGACACTTGATAATGACTCGAAGAACAGTAAGCTATATAGGTGTTAGACTAGATAGTATACTGATCTTTCAGGGACACCGATATTGAAACGCACGGGTAATGGATAGTAACACTTATCCCCGATCGTAAGTGGGACCTGGATGCAGGAACACGACAGACGAACCTCACTTTAAAGGTTAATGCCAGATAACTCCTGGTTTCTAGATGAAATGTTAGGCAAGATGAAATTTTTTTTGGCAAACAGTAATACACAGTCCGATACACAGATCATAGTGACGACTTTTAAGCTCTCAAGATAATAATATAGAATTCGTAATCAACTAATTTCAAAACTATTATCTATAAAAAAAGTAATTCTTAAATTTTTGGGTAAAAATTAATAATCATATAATTACGTAAAACCATTCCTGTTAAAGATGCAAAAATTTTTCATTTTAGTCAGTTCATAAATTTTAATTAAGAATCAAATTGCTTATTTGTATAACAAACTACGACGAATTTTATTTGTTTCTTACTTTATGTCGTAAAGTACACATCCAAAGAGAAATTTACTTTATATCATTAAACCTATTTTAAATCTATATATTTACAAATTCAGATACATTTATAAAATGTTAGCAGCTATAATTAAAATTTCTGTAGATCTCCAAGTATAGTAGGTCCAAAATACAATTTATTTAAAGGTATGTTGATTCACCTGCAATATAATTTTAAAAAATGTTATAAATATCGGAATTAATTAAAATTCTTATATATATTAATAAAACTATTTATCTAATAAATTTTTCCTTTCTTTGGTATAATTTGATATAAAATGACCTTTAGAAATACATCAATAACAACAAAGTATAATTGGATTGTAATAATTATAATTATCTAATTGACTTTTATACATTTGATGCAGGTATTAATCTAGTAGTCTGGATCTTTTGAATTCAATGATTTTTATTAACCAACAAGAAAACTAGGTATGTCAACAATATTTCAAGATTTTTCCTATTCTACGAGGGGACATAAACAACTCTACGGCTCTTAAAGTAAAAATAATAGGTAATATTGCACCGTTGCAGTACTGAATGTTTGGAGAAAAAACACTCTTTTAATGGTGTACATAGTTTTAGGAAATAACTAGCAACATAATTCAAACATCGTAGATAAGGAAAGTGAAGGGAAATAAAACAAAAGAACAGCAGATTGTCACTTACAGAACACACGTCTTCAGTTATTACATGCGCACCCATAATAATCAAAATAATTTAAAAATGTGTGCTCTTAAATGAATATACAAAATTTTAATCAATAGTTAATTCGCTCATATTTATGTATTTTATCAAAGATAAGTTACCAAATACAGGGGTAAAATTTACCATAAAGCCTGTTTACATCTTCAGACGCTATTTAAAACTAATAAGGCCTTTTAAAAATGTAACATAACATAACATACTGCTGAACAGTAAACACATCAGTTTTACATATGCAACATATTTTACTGACTCTGCAAGCTACATCGTTGATATATTAAAGAAAAGAATTTTGATCTACATATGGTACAGAAACAGCGAAATTTTAAATTAATAACTAAGACATGTTTATTCAGGCTAACACTGAAAACACCTCAAAACACGATCAATAATAACAGAAGTAAACAAGATTTACTAAACAAATTTCCAATAATGCAACAATCGAGAAAAAATAATAGCCCCCAATTGTTACCTCGTTACTGCTGAGTTTATGGTAGTTACCAAAGTTGACACAAAGCATGAGGAAAATCAAAAAAAAAAAAAAAAAACAGAAAGAAAATTTAAGACGTTACGAGACGTTAATAAATAAATTTGAAAAAGTAAGCGGAAGATAAAATATAAGCTTTTCTTTAATTTTACGGACTCCATAATTATCATTTATGATCCTTATAGACATTGAAAAAGTAAATTATATCAACCCATTTTTTTAAACTTTCATTTATTTGCATTCCTCTAAGGAGGACATCAGTGGTCAACGTGCAAACTTTAAAGATTGTAGCTTAACAACTGTTAAAAATATAGATATTTATACCTTGCCCTCCTCTTGTGGGCGTAATCACATAATAAACTTGGTGGTATTCTAATTGTAGGAATCCATAGAAAAAAAAAAATATGCATATGCTATTCTGGCTCCTAAAAGGTCACTTGTTTTAATTTTAATTTTTGTTTTACTTTCAGTCTGTCGGAACATATATATACTTGTTTGTAGTTTGATGAAAATTTTTAATGATTACGATACGACTGTTGGCAACAAGGCTAATCTGGAATTACTATGTTTTCTTACAATGTCAGTAATATTATTTTTAAGCTATTAAATTAGTCGATATGTAATCATAAGTAATATATCACAATTTTACTACTTTCTTAAATAGTGTCGATCACTAAGTTCCTTGGCGACAGAACTTACTATTAATTTAATACAAAAACTAATTTTCTTATTAATCATGTGATAATGTAAATTTGTATAAAACAATATTTGCCTTTTTAATTTTAACCAATAAGATGGAAATTATGTTGGTAATACTACTGTATCCTCTACAAGAAAACAGGTTATAATATGGTAACATTATAAGATCTCAGATTATCTCTTACTCGATGCGGAAAGACTGATAAGACCGTCCGGAAAACTATACACCATTTTGTAGCCAAGGCCGGTCAGTGACTTCCCAGAGATAATCTAAAAGAGAAAAGAATAGAAACGGATAGAAGGTTCAGATGAGATGTCGAAGTGGAGATAAACCACAAGTAGATTATGTTAAATATTAGGAAAGAATTTTGTGGTGGGTATGTAGAGCAAAAAAGTTAAGAAGTAATATTACTCATTAATCATTGAAGCATTATAGTTTTCTAAGTAAGAAAACGGCAATCTAAGATTGAGAAGATCTTTATTTGGAAAAGTAAACGACAATAATGGTGGGCATTAGAAAGCTTTACAATTATGAAATTCAGAGAAGTAGCTCGATTTTTATATCAGAAAAATTAACAATCATAATTTTAGAAGGGTGTACAGTAAAGTTCACTCCAGTCTTTTGTTCTAATTAAAATTAAAAAACAAATCTGTGTTGTAAAAATTATTTCTACTGTTAAAGCTCGTATCTTTAAAAATGAAAAAAAGGAAAAATCGTTTCGAACAGCCTATTTTGTATAGATGATTGGAGATATGTATATAGAATATATTTAGCTCGTTGTACTGTCGGACCCAAAAATGTACACCTATAAATTTCCTTTAGTACACGAAATTCAGCACTTTAATCAATGTGTGTATTTATTCTTTTTAATTCCAATATGACAAACACTTCAAACGATGGCATTCTAATTTTGTTTTTTTTTCTATAAAAAATTTAAAGTTTATATGTACAACACTTTAATTTAAATCTTAATTTACATATTTAACGTAATACTTCTAAACGAATACATACATACATATATATATATATATATATATATATATATATATATATATATATATATATATATATATATATATATTAAGAAGTCAGTTAAGTAATTGCCGAGAAATCCAAATTATATATATTTAAAATTATAATTATAAAAAGTCATTTGAACAATGACAATAATTAAAACTGAGCCAAGCACAGCTTAATTTTTGTACAAATAGCAATATTCAATACAATTGTATTTGTATCACCACGATTGACTTAACCCAAATTTTAATTGCGAGTTTCAAAGTATTTATCTGCCACAGAGAACATATACATATCTATACAATACCATTTTGTCTTTATTTATTTGTAGGAACGAGGTATAAAAATATACAATGGCAGGGGTTTCCTTTGAGCTACAAATTTTACTCTTATAATTTGAATTTAGACTAAAACAATTAATGTGTAATCAACTGTTGATTTAAGCTTATTTTTAACAACATATACTGTACATGCTTGTTGTATTTCACATTTTAAAAATAAATAAATAACATAATGGCAGCCAAAAAAGTGAAGTGGTGGGTTATCACCTCTTGTCATGTTGATGTAGATATCACCCCGGATATATATCTGAAATTAAAAATTTGAAATATATAGGTATGAGTTAATTTTTTTAAACTCAGACTTTCAGGAGTTTTGGTTTTCGAAAAACTTGTTGAATTTATATGAACTTAATATAAAAAATGAATGTTTGTTAATTTCGAAATTGACAAAAAACTCTAAATTTACCCAATACCAATCATTTTTTCATTTTGCTATACGGACAGCAATTATTTCTGTTCATATAGATAAAGAAAAGTTGCTTTTTAATTATAATTCCATTAAATCCATTGAATTCAAGGTAAAATTAATGAATACTTTTTAGAATTAGAATTAATTAATTAATATAATTTAGAATTTAGAATCAAATATAATGAATTTGTACTAAAGTTTGCTAAGCTTTACATATAATAAATAATCAACGGAATATGTGAATCCTGTTCCGAAAATTTCATTGAAATCCATTAAATTAAAGAGAGTTAAAGTGTCATGAATTGCCAAAATCCCATGGCAATTAGCCCCAAGTGCGCGCATTTCTCTATAGATATGCGCACTTACATAAAAAAAAAGAAAAGCTTTCAATTGTATACGTACATGAACCAAAAATCAAATATAGCCTCACATATACAGAAATATAAGCTTATTTGCTTTGATTGCATATGTGTACTATATTAATGAAGTTATATATCTGCTTAGCGGCTGCAAGTGTATGATACGAACCACAGCCTGTCATCGTTTATAAATATAAAATATGTAGACTTGTATAATGTGACATGTAAATTCATTTTGTTATCCCGTAAAGATTTTCATATTGAGTCGGTTTAAATTTAAGAAAGTATCTATGTCCCACTTTGATACATGTACTTGATTATGTATATTATATTTTAAACTGTAGTCATTTATGTTTGCACGTAGATTACATTATCTGAACAGCATTCCCAATAACGGGCATGAGCTTTGGTTACTTCCAAGTTGAAGGATTCCCAAGCTACGGAAATATTACGTTTCACACAATGGTAGCATTCCATTGACATTAACTTGACTCACTGCTTAATTTTACAGCAACATTGCGGATTACATTTTACAATCAGAATCGAAAGTGTTCGAAGTACACAGAAGTACAGTTAGATACTCAGCCATTATGTTTTTTTCTGGTTTATATTTTTTTAACCACACTTGCAAAAATAACTGATAGATAAATATTAATTTTAATCTGAATTTAATTTCAAAAATTGTACAACTACTATTATTATCAGATATACTTTAATAATATAATAATATATAAAAATATGTTGTTACAATAGATTGCTTGTGGAGCACAGTTATAATTTACGCTGGGCAATTTAAATATATATATATTTATATATATAGAGGCATTCCGGAGCACAGTTATAATTTACGCTGGGCAATTTAAATATATATATATTTATATATATAGAGGCATTCCACCACCTTTGTTATTATTTTTAATTGCATTTTAATTTTATTTTAATATATATTAACAATACTCATATTTCACAAATCCTTAAGTTTTTATTCGGACACAATTAATTAATGCAATACGGATACGATTAATGATAGGTGAAATTTCGTCCATTGAAAATTAGATCTCACTTTACAGGTAAAATAGACTCACCACATTTCTGTTGAATTTGCTGCTTAGGGTAGAGCCAGCAGGCCTTAGCAACAATTTATAGAACTTTTTATAACAGAAAATTTTGGTATCTGATTCCTTACGTCAATGCCGGCTAGCTCCATAGCTATAAAAATTAAGGTCCTGCAAATATACTTTTTAATACATAACGAACTCTAATTTCAGATAGCTGATTCAATCGTATAACAACTTACAATATTGATATTAAGTCCACAATTTTGGCCACTACATAACCTATGCTTTTAAATAAGATTTCACTCTCCCTCTTCTGACTTGGATTTTTTTTAAATCATTTCATTTAAAGTGCGGTAGACACTGTAATCGTTTTTTTGGTGATACGTCATGTTGCTGTAGATTTAAACAATATTCGAAGCTTATGTTGACCTCTTGTTTTTCAAGAAGATTTAACATATTTCCGAGGGAAATCGGGAGTAGGTGTAATAAAACTGCGAGGTATGGAATTTACTGTCCACATATTTTAAAAGAAATCGTACCGAAACAGCCCTTAATATTATTAGTATTATATTTTAAATATAATTCGTTAAATATTAAATAATAAAAGTGCGCGAGTAAACCGAAATAATTCTTCATCACATTACCTATTTGTTATATATGCCCAAATTTGGACATATATTAATATATATGAAACACATTGATTTACTTTTTACTTAAGAGTAACACAGAGCGCCGCGAACACTGTTGAGTTTTTCTACAATAGCTCAAAAATGACGCCTGATTTGTATCAGTTGGGTTGAGTTAAAGTCTGAGAATATTTAAAAGCATTTCGAATCTGCTAGTCCATTTCATCATTGTATGACTTTAATACATACATTTTACTATATAATATATTTTTCTTAAAAAACATAATGTGAATAAATTATATTAATTACAGTTTTTAAAGTGCTTTATACAAAAATACCAATTCTTAATATAAGAATTATTGAAATAAACGTTGAGAATTGAAACAGTAACAGTATTTTAACGTTAATAATTTTTTCGATAAATATTTGAATTGTGCTGGCTAACAAAATATTGTGTTATAAATAAGATAAAACTAGTTTTATAAGAAGTTAATTCGGAAGTACAACTGGCCCAATAAGTCCCGGGTGTCATTCAGGCGATGAAAGTGAAGCCTTCACAAGTCAATTATCCCCATGACCAAACTACTAGAAATATATTTTAAATATAACTCTACAATGGAGTGGAGTTGTATGCCCTCCTCCAATTTAGCAGTATACCGGAGCACTCAAACTAAAATTTGTTGTGGCTGTTCTGTCCACTGTTGTGATTTCTGGGTTAAAAGCCCAAGATACTATTTGATGTATGCAACATCCGGATAAGACGGATGCTGCTGACCAGCTCAAGCGTACGTGCAATCAAACGACAAGCAATCGGGGTCTATCAGTTTTATAGATCTACTGTCTATAGAAGCTCTTTCCATATAGACTTCTATCTACCAATGGACCAGACTTCATGTAAGTCTTTCTAGATGTAACCATTGATCATATCTATATCACAGAAGATAAAATACTGACATCTTCCAAAACCTTTAGGCCCAAGAACAGCAGGACCGGATAGAATCACACGTTAAAGAACTATTCAAGAAAGCCTAAGGCTTGTCAAAGCTATTATTACGATAGAGAATGCACTAAAGTAGTCATACTAATCACAGAAAAACACCTTGAATAAGTAAACCAAATAGCAGAGTGTTCCTGACTCTACAATATTTTCTTGAATAATGCTGAGAAAGCGCTGACCAAAGCCGCAACGACGCTATTTCCTGATAATGTTAGCTATGTCCGTCACACTCTACGCAGTGTCACACTCTACTAACTGTCAAATGACCGATATTCATGAAGTGAGTTGCGCTTCCGAGCAGCCTTAAAAAACTTGGCAGTTGTAATTTTTGGCATTCTTCTCATTTAGAATCTGTTAATCGCGGGTGAACAGCGGGTGAACAGAATCAATACAATGAGGTAGGCCAACGCTTTAACAAATCTTTAAATTAAAATTGCAATACACATCTAAAAATTGACAAATAAACAATAATTGTTTATAACAACATAAATTCGTTATAAATAGACTATTTTAACCAAAAGATCAATTCAATAGCCCTATGGATAATGGCAATGTTATCAGACTTCTGACTTATATTTCTTGTAAAATAATTTTTTTAAGTTTTTTTTTTCTGACGGTAACTCTTGTCAATTGAGAACTAAACAAATTATGAATACTTGTTTGTAATAGAAAATACAGTGATTGTATTTTGAGTTTTATTAAGTAAAAAACGTACTCACCGGATTCCCAATCTTCGTCTTCTTCTTCCCCACTCTGATTTAAATCAGAAGATGATCGTTTGCAAGTATTGTGTGACTTCTGTTCGAAAATTTTATCTCCGCCAGAAATGTTAGAAATATTACATCGATCAAATATACGTAGACCCTCAGAGGTTTTTTCATACATATTACTAGGCCATTTAGTTGGCACTATATCGAATTGTTTACCGGACGGCTGATTAAAAATATGCTGTTTTTTGTTGTCCTTGCCTGACGAGGTATTATTAACGCTTAGTAAGCATTTTGAAGAAGATTGTTTTCGTTTAGATGCCATTGCAGGAAATTTTGAGATAGTTGATTTTTTATGTTGATTTTTAATCTAAAAAAAAAAAAGCCTTAGAGTTTAGTTACTTTTCTAACACATTATACTTACAAGTTTTCTGTTATGTGCTATTAGGTGAGATTGAGTTTCACCTCTTTCATCACTGGTATGAAATGGACCTTCAAACAAACGACTTGAGGACGGAGAGTTTAAAACAGAACCCCCACTATTTAGATTCGTATCATTATCACCAAGAAAAAATTCTGAGCTTTGTTTACTGCTCCTATTGTTATCTACTGAGGGTTCAGTGCGTATACTGTCAGAGCGCTTTTCTTCTTTTATAAATACGAGAGAGATCTGCAATAACAAATAAAATATATAATTTTAGATATTACGTCTTCAGATAATTAAGTTTTTAACATGTTAATTAATACCCTTAATATACGTAAAATTCAAATTCTAATAGTACACACATCATTAAGAACACTGTGCAAGACCTAATTATTAAAATAAAATCAAATAACTTTTTATTAACAAATCGATGCGGGGATACATATCGATAGGCTCACACTTATGCTTATATATATATATATATATATATATATATATATATATATATATATATATTGATCACAAACAAAGTCATAATCTACATAATTTATTTATATGACGTAAATAATTAATCATTGCTCATGCTCCTACTTTTCCATCATTCAATCTGTTTAGTATTCATTAGTATTACGACGAATAGTAACTACAGTAACTATTTAACCATTTTTTCGGCTATGATTTATTAACCATAACCAACACATTTATATATATATATTTTTATTTATTTACCTTAAAGTCCTCCGAAAACGATTTATGATCTTTGTCTTTATGTGCACCATCAATTTCAGATTTATTTAAGGTATGCATAAATTTTACGGTGTTTCCGTCGGGAACGCGAACTGAAAAATAAATATACTTTAAGGAACATATTTGTATTTAGGTTTACAGTTACAGTTACAGCTAGAGTAAATCTAAGTATAAAAACCGTGTAAGAATCAATGAGGCGTTCCGGCAAAAGATTGCAAGTCATTAACAGACAAAATCTTTCCTTAATATATTATTTTGTAGTACAAAACAAAATTTATTTTTTGATTTTTATCCTGTTAACGTGGTTATATTTAACCCATAAAATATTGCAGATTCTATATTCAACTATGGAATACAAATACATTCAATTTTTGGCTATTTCTTTTTAGAGGGTTTTTTTAATGACTTCCTTTTATTACATTTTTTTAGGTAGTAATTCAACAAATGTGTACATACAATAAGCATTTAGAAAGCTTGTTAAACAAAATATAAAATATAGAATAGATCATTTAAATATGACAACTTGAAACGTACAACTCGAGCTTAACTTATAAAGTTTTTAATATCCGTAAAATGTAAACATACCCGCATCATTTTGCATGAAGAATGTATTAACCCAAAAGCTGCAAATAATCTTTCTTGATGACTTTTGAGTAAGTTCAACTTTGATATCACCAGAAACTGTTAAAGGCGAATTAGTTATATCCAATATTGAAGTTTTTTGAAAATCAATTGTCCACGTTTTCAGCTCCTGAGTAAATAAAAATTTTTGATTTAATTATAGTGCACAGCATGGTTTTCGCATACAGAAATATTCAACATTTCTAATTAAAATAAGGTTTTAGGATATTACGTATACTAGCATTTTTTTAAATTAAATTATTAGTTATTTTGTCTAATTTTGTAGTAGTATAGACGAAAAGGAGAAATACTTTTGTGTCTCGTTAGTCGATTTAAGTGGTACATGAATAGGTTTAGGAGCTTGCTTTGCTGCGTCTTATATTTTATTATGTACACCACAGGAGTAAAAAAATCTAAGTTTTATATTTACAGAACATTTTGGCTACATTATCAGAAAATTATTGAGAAATATTATGAAGCATATCAACAACCAACAAAATACATTACATATTTATATAAGTATATACTGGATACAGACAATAGCCAAAAGTGAAAATTAAGTAATTCTCAATATAATAAATATATATACTTTTACATCTATTACTATCGTATAAATATCATTAAAATGCTTTCGCTAAAACCAGTATATTGAAAATGTAAATGCTATCAGGAAATATAGAATACATACACTATACAATTAAAAATTATAAAAACAGGAAAAAAAATATGGTATCTATAAATTTAAATCAAACCATTAGAATTGTTGATAAACAAATCAACATACTTACATGCGCCTTAAGTTTTTCTGCTGAAGACTCTTGCCTGTCGAAAATTGAACATTGCACTGTACCAAGATTATGCAAGTAATTTGTCTCAGTAAAACGGATTTCAGAAATCTATAAACGTATTAGTGAAAGCTGTCAAAGATCTATAGTATATATTTGATACTTACGTAAAGACTGACTACTTCATAATGTATATCTGGGATTAAATTTGAATAATACTGAACATATCTACGTTGAGATGGAATTGTAACTCCTTTCCGATCTATTGTACGTTTTTCATCATAAAAAGCCAACGCTTCATCTGCTGTATTCAGGAATTTACTATGAACCAAGTATGCACATATCATTGTACCTGGTAAGTAAACATGTTTTAGAATTATAAAATTAAAATGTAATGAACACAAAATTTACAAATCGAAATAATTATAAGTATGTAAATGTTTCTAGAAAATTGTAAATTCACAATTTAACAATTATTAAACTTAAACTTATGAATGCTTTTTTGAAGAATGTTATGTAACACTCAACATTAAATGCTTTATGAACATTAATTTAAGAAGTATTTTAAGGACTTTTTCAAAAATCCTAAATTAAGAAATATCCGTCAATTATTATATTAGCATATATTAACTTTTAGAGTTGCTAATAATTTTTAAAATGTGGGACTGAGATACCTTAAGCCGTCGATCGGCCTTATACTACATATCTTCCATTGTTGCATGCACCAAACACAAGCATTTACACACCCACATATTATATAAGTATAAGTATGTATTTAAGTATGTATTTAAGTATAAGTATAAACTTTAAATATTTTTGGCTAAGAATGACCCCGGTATGATTCAAGCCCGAATCAAAATAAAAAAAATTAAAAAATGTTCGACTTCGCCAGTAACTTACATTTAAAAATTGTTCTTCAATTTAAAGAATTTTGCAAAGTTTATATCCGGCACCCACAATATAAAAAAAATCGAAACTTAAAAAAAAATCTAATGAAATATGCATAAAAATGAAGCTCGATAACGTTTCTGCCTGTTCAGTAGTAAGTCTAATCAGTCTGTAATATGATTTAAACCCATTCACATCCGTTTATCTCAACGTCATTCGTTATAAATTTGAATGCAATTGCATTGCCTGGAGAAAACAACTATAGCTTTGAAAAATTTACTGACTTGCACATTGCACACTTATATTCGATTATATTCGATTGTTATCCCTTGCAATGTGCTAACATATTATGCGTTTAAAATGTTTTTTTTCTTTTTAGAATTTTAAGTCGTATATGTCCGAAGCATGCGTTAAAGGATTAATATAAAAAGATATGAAAAATTAACCCAGGGAAAAAACTTATTCTAAAAGATATAAGATTTTAATTCACGCCCTAAGAGGCTTATATGTCATTTTCAAGTTTATTAATTTAATGTAATTTTATATACACTGCAGCTCAACTGAATAGGCTTAAGTTTTCCAAAAAATATATCGCTTCAATGAAAGCTCCGATTATAATGGCATACATTTCGATACATAACAAATTAATTAGTTATGCTTATGATTAAGTTTCCTGTCTGAAAATTTTATTTTTTTTTAATTCATCGAAATTGCTCTTTGTGACTCAATTAAACACGTTTAGATAATAGAACTGTTTAAAAAAATTATAAAAGTAAATGCAATGTATGTAGTAAATGTATTTTTCCTTTCGTTTAAAGTTCATAATAGTTAAAGCCATCCAGACCATCAAAATGCACTTAGTTTCGTTGGGAAAAACTAGTGTTCTTCCCCTTGTTTCGTGTGATATGTTTCTGTCAGTCCGAATGTGTGAACGTGTCAAGACTATAAGTTTCAGACTTTAATTTTTTTAGGTTTGTAAAGATCAAATTTTGTTCAAATAATTAATAATTATTTCCGTTTCAATGTTATCGAATAGGAACCTAAGAATTAAGTTATTTAATTATGTGTCGTATGCCTTTGGAGCTTGTGTCACCGAAATTGTTTTAATTCGTGTAAATTTCAAACAGTTTTAATTTTTGTTAAATTTTGGATACCATCTCCAAAAGTTTTTAAATCGAAATTAAATTGCAAATGCAGCCAATATGTGAATGAGTTAATTTATTATTAATCTTGATTTATTTGTAATCTGCTGAGAATCGACAATTTTAGGCTGTTCGAAGATTAAATCATTACAGAGAAAATTTTTTGCAAACAATCTGATAAAAATAATGATAAAAGGCATTAAATTAAAATATACAGGTCAGGAAATTTTTATCGTAACTGATGTATTTCATTGTAACATAAATTTAATTTCATTCAAATCAGTTTCCGTTTGAGAGATATAAATTTTCAAAGTTTTGAATAACTTAAAAATGTTCAGTTGAGCTCAACACACAATGTCAAATAGAATGTATTCTAATTAAATTAAGTTAAGCGAGTGCAAGTGCAAAGCCGAATTACTCAAGCAGTTATAAGAAATGGACGAAGAAAAAAAAGACGATAAGACTGTGTGTATTTGATGCAGGTCGAAATGAAGTGGCGATTTTGGTTTATATGCATTATGCATAATCAAGACAACAAAAATTATAGCCACTTTTTGCTTTCCGCCCCTGGTTCATACGGATTGCCACTGATTCACTTCGTTTGTTTTAGCTTGAATGTTTTTCGGCCGTGTCTTACGTGTCCAGTTTATTCAGCTTAGCATTCAATTTTACTCATATCATTTGTTACATTTTTCATTTTAATGTGGAATTTTCGCACCTTGTCTAATATACATAGTCACGGGCAGACAGTATATCAGACATTACAGAAATCCAATATACTCTTTTCTTCGTGATTAGCGTTAGTGATGAACTTAATGTATTTATTCTTATAAATAGAATAAAATGATAATGAATGCTATACGCTTATTTCTTACCAGTTCTTCCCTTTCCAGCTTTGCAATGCACAGCTACGACATTTAATGGATCTCTATTAAGCCAGGACTCAACGTCTTCACAAAAACGTTGTATCAGTACAATGGGGGGAGGGTTATGATCCTCAAATGGGTATGTTGCAACATTCTGTAAATAAATATATTTAATTATGGTTTGATAGTATACGATTTTTGATATTTTACCCCATGAAATTTATTTATGTCGTAGCTCCGTTCTTGACACAGATTATATATTTTGTAATGCCCTCCATGACTTTCTTCCATAAATTTATAAACATCCTCAAGGCGATTTCTGTAAATGCCTTCGATAATGTCCGGCGCAGGATATCCCATCGCAATAATTTTCGGGCAAATATCTAAAATAAAAAAAAAAAACAAAAAAGAATAAACAAAGTAAACTATATGCTAAATAATAAGGAATAATAATGAAAGACTAACTGAAATTTTACATAGTAATTTCTTTATGATAAGTGAAATGAATACGAAAGCTTTTATAATTAGAATGCCTGTATTTCTTGAACAGAAGTTCCGATTTAAATATAAATATATTTATATTTCCGATTTAAATATAAACATATATATATTAAAAAACCAATCAATTATTATGAAGGAAATTTTCTGATCTGTCAAAAAAATTGGACTTTTTTTAGCTAATTTGAATAGGTTTGAGCTATTTAATTTTAATTCGTGATCAATACAAAAATTTAAAAAAAAATATATTTTTTTAAAAATAGATTTGGAAAACCTTTGAGCGAGTTTGAAATAGGACAAATAAATGGCTTTACTGAATCATGACCAAATGACCTTGAAAACCCTCAAATGATTGGCCGTAGTCAGAATGTGGTAAATAATATAATCAAAAAACTTAAAAAATATTAAAGGAGGAAAAAACATGCGGCAACGCCATCATAGCATCGGACTACATCGACTTCTCCCCTCTTGGCGAATGAAATCAGGGTACAATGTGTTGAGAAAAAATCCCTCTTAATAATTTACATAAAGTTGCACGTTTCCGATTTGCCTAAGAGCATATGACGTGAAACGAGGAGTGGTATACTGCAGTCATTCCCGACGAAAAAAGGAAGTTTTGATTGTCTGGGCGGCTAAAACTATTATTTCCACGACATATGAAAGAGGAATGCATTTAAATTCGCAATCACTGCTGTGTAGGTGGTGTAATAAAGTTGGGAAGCCATATCGTTTTATTGCACTTGAAAGCTCCAGTTCATCACAATGAAGATGAATGCAAATCTGTATAAAACAGTGCGTCAAAGGAGTTTCCACAATTTTTTTAGTGGTATTCGTGGACGTTCCAGTATGAAAATTTTGCCAGGAATTTGAAACAGTGGATTAGCTCTCAAAAAGGTTATATTGCTCTACAGGCTGCAATAGCCATATTAAAACATTTGGGAAATTTTTCCCAGGATAGTTTACTAAGGTGAAAGTCAATTATACACTCTACGGACCTTAGTCGAATTAATTAAAATATTGATAAATGTCTCAAAATTTTTACCAATGCTTACGATAGATATTAATAAGAATGAGGGAGGACATACAAACTACTAAATAATAAAAAAAAAACTAATGTCCATAATTGTTTAAGTTATACTTTCAATAATTTAAAAAAAGTCAGATATATATATGAATTACGAATAATAATGGAAATACTGCTTACAAGAAAGATCCAAATTAAATCCTTTTTCTTTGTATCGTATGCGTTTCTTGCTCACAACATTTCGTAACGCATTGGACATTATGGAGATTGTGTTTGCCATATTACTCTCCAAATATGATATTGTCTTTTAAAAATTATAATTTTTGTGTTATTATAACTATTTGTTTTAATTTCTTTTTCATTATTTATATATTCCTTCATTACAATTTTATTATTACAAGTGTATTTGTATAAACCATTTTTAAAGAAAACATGCAGCACCTGAAAAGAAATAAATTTGAAAAAATTTAGATTAAATTATCAGAAATTATTACATTGCCTATAAGAAAGATTGCCAAACTCTTCTGCGTCTCGTAATACATAAATCCTTTGACTTGGATAAATGTCGAACGCAATACATAAATCTTTTGACTGGGATAAAATATGAGCAAGTGTTGTTTATGTTTATACAAAAAAATGCTGTAGTCATTTTTATCGGTGATGAGAAATGGATATGAGAAAACTTACAAATTGGGGTCTAAAGCACAGTTCTGCCTGTAGCAATAACGTATCAAATTTATTAAAACCGATGTCGAGTTCTAATATTTTTATATTATTATATTCTTGATAAATAAAAAACCAAGAATTTTTTAAAAAACTTCGTGTTTACTAGCCTAGTTGTCCATGATAGCGCACTGTTTTTAGTCTCAGTTTAGGGTACCCATGGTATTTTAATTAACAGAATAATTCTTGACTTGGTAGGATAACGCAAATATATTTAAAGAATTATATAAAATGTTTCTTAATATCATAAAAATCATGTACATTTTGTCGTCGATTTTATTGGTTGGTATATAAAAGTACAATCAGACCCTTAAAATTTTAACGGATTCAAAGTGTACTAATACATATGTATATAAGAGTTAAGGGCATTTAACAAGAGAAAGTCATGTCTGATCTTAACTTATTTGTGATCATTATCTATATTTTTTAATTTTAACGAGGTGCAATTTGTGTTTAAATTAACTACACCAAACTTACGGAACTAAGAATTTGAATAAATACTTTTATTTGGATATAAGCTTTCTATGTCGTTATAATAGGTGCGTTTTCAGAGTAACACACAAAATGGAAACATGTGTATCTATATAATTTAGATAATATTAAGTTTATTCCTAAATTATATGTAATGCTGATAATAAAAGTTAATAGTTGAAAAAAGTAGTTGAAGTTTATATGTATTGAAAACCAATGTAATTCCAATCGTTTTCCGAACTTGGTAATATTCTTCTTGGCTGTCATTATTATTTATTAGTAATAGTAAATAATTGATCAATGAATAACATACATTCAGCAACATACGTTCTTTTAAGTTATATGTTTACTTACATACATTAAGCTACCAGAATCCATACTTCTTTATGCCTATACTCATGTACATATTTAAACGGTTCACTTACATTCATTTTTAACAATAAATTATACACAACCTGTAAATTAGATACACATTATAATTTAAACATATTTTAATATACACTGCATCTGTATACAAACACATGCATACGCATGTATACCGCTGCCAAAGTACATAAGAAACTTGTATGTGTAATATTAATATATACATATATATATATATATATATATATATATATATATGTATGTATATATATATATACAATATATATAATATATATATGTATATAAATAAATATATGACAGCTTAAACGAAACATAGTTTGTATATAAGACATCAACAGTCTTTTGGAACAGTGATTATCAACAAATACTTAATGTGTTAAAGAACATAGGACACTTTTCCATACGTGCATATAAACTACAATTATATGTGTATATAAATGCTTTAAACCAAATTAATGTATATACATACATGCAACACACTCCAACTCCTTTCTATCGCCTTTTTTAAATGTAACACAGATTTTTTTTAATTTTGGGCTGTTTTCATAGCGATTATTATTTGATTTGGAAATGTCAACATTTTCGTTACAGAAGTTTTAGTTAATTTATGACCGTTTGTACATACATACATATATCACCAATTAATCACAAATAGAGTATTTGAAATAACTAGCTTACGATCATAAATTCTAATAAAAAATAGGAATAGCCCATGCACTTTTAGTTAAATTCTCGACTTATCTGTCAATAATGTCTAATATGAAAGCCACAGGGTGATTCAATCTACTTACAATGTTAATTAGAGTTATATCGAATTGTTTTGAATTAGTTCGTTTTGAACTTCAATTGAACTGGATTGAGAACCAATATCAGAAGCTTAATTTATTTGTTAGTGTGCTCTTGTGCATTTTATACTTATCGTGATTTTGTTACTTAAGCAGTTCACATTATTGGGCGTTATAAAAAGCAACGTTATTGAAGTTAAGATTATAGTAATAATATTGTTATTATTATTATTCAATTGTGGTTCCGTTTAGTCGATTAATTTAAAAACTTCCCTTTTTGTCGATTAATTTACAAGATCGCCATGTACTATTATTATATATAAAGAAAATTTTTACGAAATATATAAAACATATAAAAAGATACTAGACAATAATTAATACTCTTTCATATCCATCTTTGTGTTAAACTTTATCCTATTAATTGTTTCAAACGAGCTGGTCCAAAACAAATCTTTTTTTTTTTTGAACTTCAAAGAAGCAAAAAGAATTACTTTTGAAAATTCATCAATGTGGTCGCATATTACATGACTATGGCTAGATATATGAGAATAAAGAATATCATGACAAAATACAATTCTTTTCTGATAAAATCTTTATAAAGTCAAATGGAATGCACCACTCATATAACTCTCAATTTTTATAAATCTTCCTCTTGGAAAACAAAATAATTGGATTATAAGCGCAGTACTAGAGCCATCAATTCCAAAAGTGGGCTTATTTCTAATTAAATATTGTAATTTGGGTTATGCCCATATTAATCGAATTGACATTGCAACTTTTTTAAATATGATCTGTTCCTGTTCCCTCTGTGGAGCGTCTGCGCGGACTGGACAATTAACCTGCTTTCGTGAGATATATCATCAATAGAGATTCACTTACTGCATAGCGTATTTAGGACTGACCAACTGACAACGTGTTGCTAACTGCTGTTAACACGAGCTGACCAACCAAAAACATCCTGGTGAACAGAATCACAGAAACATACAAAGCTAAGCTAATGTAACGATACGGTATATGAATCTGGGGTACGTCGTTCTTTACAAAACGGTTTTATACGTAACTAGATGCGTTCTGGTTAAAAAGTAGTGTTTCAACTCCAGGAATAAGAAGATGGGGTCATTACTCACAAACAGAAACCCGAAACTTCACTATATATAAAATCGTAAAATGGTACAAATAACAATAGTAAAAATGTAAATTAAGAAAAAACTAAAAAAATTTATTTTAATTTATTTTCTTGTGCTTTTTTCTTATCTTTATTTTTTTCTTTAACATTTTATTATCTGTTCTTTTTCGTTATATTCATTATATAAATCACAGATCTTTAGCAATGCATTATTATCAAACGAATAACAACAAAAAAATGTTTTCTTTTTATTAAAAGGGTATCTGTAAATCATTAATATTGGCCGCCTAAACAATATTTTCTGACGTTGAGTCGAAGTATCGGAGACTGATATTATAATTGATACTGTAACTGTGGAACTGTTACTGCTGCCCGGTTTTAGACGTTATGTTGACTCTACTACATTTATTAAAAGTATTATCTATTAGTCCTTTCTGAGTACTAACGTTTGCAGCATTTTCACAATTGTTCGAGATAATTAAATTCAAGTCAAATGGAATCGCCTGCGGAACGAGATTCCGCATCAAGTTGTATAGAATTACGGCGAGAAGCTCGTCGAAAAAAAATTTTAGAATCTGCTAAAGCTCGTTTAGAAAAATTAAATGGTGGAGTTAAAACAACTGAGACCAATCTTACGGGTATGACATTTCCATACGATAAATATGTAATACTTTCTTATATATATATTTAATAATACATATCCATACTAGTATATTGTGTGAATAAATTGGATCAAGTTGTTTTCTAACTAGATCTAATGTTACCGCTAAGCCTTTTCTATATGATTTGTAAATATACAATATATATTACGTTCCCGAAAACTAATATTTGCATTTGTATTACAGATTGTGGAGCAACAGAAGTGCTGGATTACTCAGATCCAGAAGTCGAGCCAAATGTTCCTATAGGAAGTGGATCACCCCAGGAACAACTTTTTTTTTCAACAGCAACCTTTTCGTCAAGCAGTACCAGTGATACCCCCAATAAATTTATAAGATGTAGGATTCACATTTTTGTAGCTTCAATTTTAGGTTATATCTTATCATGCTATGTTTCAAATTCTCTTTTTATTCCCGGTTTTCTATGCGTAATAATCGAGGTATTTTATCTTAAGGAGCAGCAAAAAATTCAGAGTAACATTGTCTCAATGATATTACCTATTGCACTTTTATTTACAGGAACATTTATAGGCAATAAAATCAAGCATGTGAATCGGTTTCTTTATATATCGCAATATCTCATTATAAATCTTGCTGTAAATATATTCTGTATATGTTTAAGTGGTTATGTATGTCAATTCAAACGTATAGGTCATGTCGCTGATATAAAATAAATAAAAGTCAAATTGTGTTAAGTATTCGCTTAGGAATTTTATATTGTGAAAAGAGCATACTTTTAGCTCCGTATTATAACAATTGTAATCCCAAGTTTTACTTGGTTGAAGATGCTGTGCATTTGTATACCTCTTTGGAAATTGGACAATAGCATTAATTGATTTTGTTAACATATTTATACCTAGGTGATGGGCTGAGTAGCCTTAGTTATCCTAAGAACTATGACTTGCAATTTTAGTACGTTTTAGCACGTTTGCTTCAAATAATCGGCACCTATTTCTATTAGTTATTAATTACACGTGTTATCTAAAATAGTTTCAGAGCTATAACTACCAACTGACTTTTGAATTACTGTTAAGATGCTATACAGATCGACGAAAAATCTATGTAATCTAAATCACAATAGGGGTGTCGAAAATCAGATCTGACAAAATCTAATAAATTTTGAACACTATTGGTGCTAAATCCTTCATATACATTCATTTGAATTCTAAAACGATATATTATATATATACGCTCATATATATTCTAAAGTCTTAGGCTATAAACTTAAATATTCAATTATTGACTTACTGTTATGCTTTCCACGCGGGGCATCGCGTAATGGTACTGGCCCACAAATTTTAAATGCACTCATACTGGCGACGTACGTTTTACAGTTAAGAACTCTATACTTAACAACAAAGTTACTGAGGGAATCAACAGTACCTAAGTACCTAAATTATGAGTTTCTAAATTCCTATTCAGGGGGACAGCTTTACGTATATTTTATACATTGCTTTTTGCGGAATATTTGGTCTTTGAATTGCACTTATAATATAATTATTTTATTTATTTTTAATTTTTGCTGTTTTTATTTGCAATCTGTCTTATACTAGACAATAAACAAGTTTTTTAACAATAATATTACATAACCTACTACATCTTATACATATTTATATAGTTCTGCAGGGCAGGTCTAGGACATGAAATCTTTTATGTCGCCTATGTTGCTTGAGTTGTCCAGTAGTCTTAGTGTTAAAGCAATATCGTGGTTATGTAGCCTATTCATGTATCTTTTTATACCCTGATCCCATTGAAAATGGGAAATCAGGGTATAATGGTTTTGTGCAAATGTATGTAACAGGCAGAAGGAGGCGTGGCAGACCCCATAAAGTATATATATTCTTGATCAGGACGACAAGCCGAGTCGATTAAGCCCTGTCCGTCTGTCTGTCTGTCCGTCTGTCCGTATGTGTGAACGCGTGGATCTCAGCATCTATAAGAGCTAGAGACGAAATTTTTTGTAGGTCTGTGTATAGCATGCGCAGGTCAAGTTTGTTTCAAATATTCGATAACTATTCGCATTTAATTGTTATCGAATAAAAACTTTATTGAAATGCAGTAAATAAATTATATCTCGAACGCCTTAAGAGCTAGAGAATTCAAATTTTGTATTTATTTTTATGTATATTTTATGCAATTTTGGTTTTTTTTGGATTTTGGATACTGGCTCCAAATATCCCCAAATTCTTAAAATTTAAGTTTAGTTGGAACTAGGGCCATTATCTGAAGGCGTTTGCATCTCAACTAAGCCAATTGGATATGTAGATCATATGCTGAAAATTTCATTAAAATCCATTTAGTAAAACAGAAGTTATTAAACAAAACGTTTGGCCAATTTGCAAAAGCACATGTCAGCAGCGCCACGCGCACTCATTTTTCCTATGAGTGTGCACACATGGATTCAAATGCGTGTATTCTTTTCTATTCCAAGAATCGAAATTGCGATTGAATTGTGCTGAATAATTGGCTGCTACTTAACTTCAAATTTGCAACTCTTCTTGCAAGAGGTGCAGTGGCTGCGTTGGTAGAGGCGGCGCTCGTTAGCGTTTAGTCTCGGGTTCAATCCTCGCGGCGACGAGATTTTTTTTATTGTTTTTTTTTTTTTAAATTATGAAGTGGCGGTGTTGGTAGAGTTGGTGCACGTTTACGCAAACAGTCCGGGTTCGAAACCTGGTCGTGCAATGTCGTTTTTATTTGTTTTCTTTTTTTTGTTGAATACTCGATATGAACTACGGAAAATATTAAAAAACTCAGAGGACTGGGATCAGGGTATCTCGTAGTCGGGCACCCCGACTAGAGCTTTCTTACTTGTTGCTTATAGTTGAATTTGTTCTTTAACAAGGGATAGCTTAAAATCTTTGTAGATAATATAGTTAGTCGCATACCAGGGAGCACATGAGATAATTCTGAGCGTCCCATAACCCCATAACTGCAGTGCGTAGGTCCATGCTGGCCTTATATAACCTTAATTTGTTCCCAAGACTAAGTTCAGAACGTGGTTCTAACAGCTAATAGATTTTCTTGGTTTTCGCCTTGAGCTGTTCTTGTTTCGACTTGATGTGCTGTTTCCAAGTAAGCCGCTGATCAAGGTGAACACCTAGGTATTTTACCGATTCATTAACAGGTATAGCATGACCGTTTAGTGTGACTGCAGGACAAGTTCCCGGTCTCAGAGAAAATGTAACTTGCACTGACTTTTGCTTGTTCACTATTATTGTCCACTTTTGAAGTCATACTTCAATTAGACCGAGTTCTTCTTGATGTAGGTTGAATGCAACTTGTGGGTCAGTGTTCGTGGCAATGATTGCGGTATCATTATATATGTTGCTATCTAAAGAGCGTTTGTTGTAGGTAGGTCAGCTGTGAAAATTGTATACAAAACTGGACCCAGAACAGTGCCTTGCGGAACACCAGCTTCAGAAGTGTATATATTGGATGATTCGTCATGTTCTTGTACAGAAAAGGATCGGTTTGCCAGGTACGATTTTATAATAGTAAATTATGGTGCTCGCAGTCACTTCTTAACTTTGTAAAGAAGACCTGCATGCCAGACTTTATTAAACGCTTGTTTAATGTCTAAAAATACGCCTGTGCAATATTTTTGCATTCAAATGCAGCAATAATTACATGCGTTATACGATTGCGTTGTTCGAGTGTTCCATGCCGTCTTCTAAACCCAAACTGATGTTCCGGTAAGATATCTAGTTCGTCCAGCACTACTTTCTTCTTAAAAGTATTCTTTCGAATACTTTAGAGAATATCACCAGCAAAGTAATGGGACGATATGACAATCTGCAGCTCTCTAGCTTGTTGGGTTTGAGAATCATGATTACTTCCCCTGTTTCCACTGTCGTGGGAAGTATTCCAATCTTAGCTTAGCATTGTATATTTGTGTGAACAATCGGATGCATTATGGCGGGAGATGTCTAATGGTATTTGCGCATATTTTATCATATCCTGGCTCTTCTTGTTTAGGATCTTTATTTCCTCTTTATATGTGAACTCTCTGACAAAAAAATAGAGCATAATAAAATAACCGTTATATTTTGGGATCAGGGGTCCCACTGATAATGGGAAATCAAGGTATAATGGTTTTGTGCAAATGTATGTAACAGGCAAGACAAGCCAAGTCGACTGAGCTCTGTCCGTTTGTCTGACTGTATGTATGTGTGAACTCGTCGATCTCAACAAAGCTAATGACTTAAAATTTTATATAGGTCCATGTATAGCACGCGCATATCAATTTGGTTTCAAATATTCAACAACCGTTTAAGTGTTATCGATTAAAAACATAATCGAAATGCAGGTTTGAAATTATATTTCGCAAGAGCTAGAGCGTCCAAATTTTGTATTTAGTTTTATGTGTATTTTCTACAATTTTGATTTTTGTTATATTTTGGATACCGACTCCAAATTTAAGTACAGTTGGAAATGGGGCCGGTATGTGAATTTAATAAGCTGACAATTGCTCCAATCGAATGTGTAGAACAGCAGAAATTTTCATTACAATCCTTTAAGTAAAACAGAAGTCATTAATCAAAACGTTTGGCCAATTTGCAAAAGCATATGTCAAGTAGCGCCAAGCGCACGCATTTTTCTTATACATACACACATACATTTAAATGCGTGTATTCATTTCTATTCCAAAAATTGGAATTGCGATTGAATTGTGCTTGAATTCTTAAGTTAACTTGAGACCTGCAATTGCTGACTCAAGCACTGCAGTGGCAGTGTTAGCTCTCATAAGCTGTGTACGAGTAGACGTTTTTTATGGTTTTTAATTTTATTTTGCGTAGATAATGTGGGTTCGAATCCTAGTGTCGTAATGTTAATTTTTAATTGTTCTTTTTATTTTTGTGAATACTCGATACAAACTATCAGGGTATCACCTAGTCAGGCACCCCGACTAGAGCCTTCTTACTTGTTTTAAGTTGAATTTATAGGAGATAATTGAATATATATTGCCGAACTATCCAATGATTAATTTGGATAACCTAATACCGAGGAGTGTATGAAATAATCTTACAAAATTGCAATATTTCCAATAAAATATGCCACAGACGACCATGATGTATTCAGCATCTCTGAATTGGAGAACAGGCTTAACTCCATTAAAACATCTGACTTATGTGATTTCAAGGTTTCACACCCTAGCATACTAAGAACCAACAAATAACTAACTGCAAACCCCCAGAACGAAAAATTTGATTAGCCCATTTCTGACTCCCGAAAGACCGTAAATTCGGGAATACCTAAAACCGTTATATTTTAAGCATAAAAAAATTATGAACAAATCATTTTCTAAAACCTTATAATTGGTCACAGTTCATTCCGCCACCTGATTATGTTTTATAGACCTAAAAATACCAGAGTGGAATTGTGGAGTGTAGCTGGAACGCAAACATCAGAGATGCAGCATGTGCGCCGCTGGACACAGATACATGACAAGTCAAAACGGTCGCGGATCTGAAATGTGCCAACTGTGAAGGCAACCACGTTACGTCATACTGAAAACCGCATTTATAAAAAATAAACACTCGCTCAACGATGTAAAAACATATTTGGTATACCCGAAAAACGCTCATCGCCATACCTTATATGTCTATACATCCCTTCTGCAGTAATAAGAAATAGGATCTCTTTTGCTAATATAGGCAAAGTAGGAGTTAATTCCACCAAATCGATTGAACTGTGTTTGAATTGTTATCTGCCACATGATATGGAAGTAGTGAAATGGCGTAGATGTTGATTCAATATCTGGCGATTTTTATTTTATAACATATAGTTGGACGCGTACTGCGTGTGTTTTGAGTATCTGTGTATGGATCATATTTAAGAACGCATATCAGGCGATGATCATGGTTGATATGTTGATCTGCATATGATCGTTTTACATGTAATCTTCACACAACATTTAAGACCACCATATTTTCAATATATAAATATAAAACAATTAAGATTACTCTAGTCTGGAGTGTCGTCACACTAATTTTCTGAATGAGTGTAATAATAGTATTCAAATGTTAACTAAAACATAGATGTTCATTATTTAAAATAAATTCCTTGAATTTTGATGGGAATAATAAAATATGTCCGATATCCATAATAGACTAGAATTATTCAACGTTTTCCTGATACAGAATATATATATTGAATTCGACGCCTCCATTTCACATCGCCATCAGTCGATTCAGTTTATAAAACTGTGTAAGACAGTCGCGCGTATTGAAATTATCGTTTCAATCGTACTCACGTTATGATATTTCCCATTCGAGAATTGGATGAAAAATAAAATATGTATGCATTCCACCATTCCAAAATGAAAATACTTTGTCATTTGGATTATTTAAAAAGATAATTTAATTACTAAGATATATATATGAACTAGTTTACACGGAACTAACTCGCCGACAATTATATGGTCTCTCTTAACGAGAACTTTTGATGTACATACTAAAAAGCGAGCGAGTGCAGTGCTGAAAATATTGATTAATAATTATCTGCACAAAGGCAGATATATTTGTTTATAAAACATGACTGATCAGCGGGGGACTAGAGTTTATGTCGGTAATTTAACTGATAAGGTAAAGAAGGATGATTTGGAAGGCGAATTTACAAAGTATGGAAAGTTGAATTCAGTGTGGATTGCATTTAATCCGCCCGGGTTTGCATTTGTTGAATTTGAGCATCGTGACGATGCTGAAAAAGCATGTGACATTTTAAATGGTTCGGAACTTTTGGGATCGCAATTACGAGTGGAAATTTCCAAGGGTCGTCCACGGCAAGGCAGACGAGGTGGACCTGGAGAAAGAGGGCGTCGCGGTGATGTCGGCAGACACAGCATTACAAATAGCAGTAGCAGCGGTGGATTCAGACAACAACGAGGTTCCAGTAGCTCAAGCAGTCGCCATTGTGATCGTGGTTACAGTTCCGGCCGTTCCAGTACCGGATATGGTGGTGCCAGAGATGGAGGCAGCAACGGCTTCAGCCGTCGCGATATCTACAACGGAGCGCGAGAAAGTAGCCGTTACGGCGGTGGATCCAGTTCTAGCTATGGGCGCAGCGGAGGACAAGGTGGAGCCCGCTTCAGGTCTCGGTCTCCAGTTGCCAATCATCGTTTCTAAACACCAACCATTCAATTTGAAGCTGTTAATAGAACAATATAAAATGTCTGTGCGATATTGATACGACCCAGCTATCATATAAAATCATTGCTAATATGTACATACATATATTAAAAACAAATATTAAGATTTGGTTTCTAATCAATAAGGAATTCATTCTATTAAAACTTATTTCTATGCTAGGACATCAGCTTTCGAGAACAATATTCGAATACTATTTATTTTACTTACAAATTGCATCAAACGAAATTTTTATATATTCAAATTTAAGAACTAAATTAGCCAACTATTACAAATAATTAAGTTACATATATTTAAAGAAAAGTACGGACTAAGTTTTTGAAAACCTAGAATACAAAAGTAAAATAAATGCCTAAAGCCGTATATCATATTTACGTACGCAGAGTTTTTTCAGAGTTCAAAAAAGCATAGAAAGAAATCTATATATTCTCTGATTCATTTAATAACATTATTAAAGTGTGCATATGCCCAAAAAGAAACAAAAATCGCAATTGAGTCGTAATACTACGCGCTAACGCAATAATGTTTGGATCCGCACTTGTAGTCCTTCAGGTTCCTTTAGTATTCGATAACCTGTAAAATGATAACTCGCATTCACGGATTTCACAAATGAAGTTAAGCATTAAAAATTACAAAATGGTTTTTAGTTAACACCTTGATTTAATTTTCTTGAGTAGCACGGACTCATAACTTGCTTTGTAAATTAAATCAGAATATAAATGTATGCATATTTTATTTTAGTAATTGGGTCTTTAGATGGAGTAGAATTTTCTAATAAAATACAGAAATTAGGAACACAAGTAAAATTTAAAATGTATAACTGAAGAGATACTACATGCAACAAAAACGATGTATCTGCAGTTTTTAAAATTTTCGATTTATATTTAATGACGAGGTTGAGTTTGCCTGTTATGACATTGTTGGATCGACTTATCAGCTGAGCTCTTTATCATCATCAACAATATATTTATTGTATATTGACAGTTATGTATATTGGAACAAAATGTTTGTTTTGAATTCATGCATATTTTTTGAATGGGTTAGATTTATAATAAAATCTTGCGAGATTCTTTTGTTAATACACAGCATATACGTATACACGTATAAGCATTGTACATAATTGTTTAAATTGCGAGTCATGCAGGTCATATTTTTTTTATTTATATAATATTTTTTAACCCACATTTTGAGCCCTATTTCAGATATTTCGAATTACTCCATACTCACCTGTGCCATCGCACACAATGTTAATAACCTGAAATTATTCTTAAAGAACTTGAGTATAAACAAATAAGAAAGCTCTAGTCCCGATCTGCATTTTTAAATATATTCCATAGCTTGTGTCTAGCATAAATTATAAAAATTGGTGAACGAATAGAAAAGAATGAACGCATTTGACCGTATGTGCAGTTATAGTATAAAAAAATGCGTACGCTGGTGCTGCTGCTTGCCAATCGCCCAAACTTTTTGTTTAATCAATTCTTGCGCTATTTGCACACGGTAAACAATTTGGAGCTGGTTTATAAAATATAACAAATATGAAGCGATATACCCTAGATCGAAAGGCGAACGAGATCAATTTTCATAACTGAATTTTGATAATGTTTAATTGATAATATTAAACCGGGAACAGTTATCGAATATTGGAAACAACTTTTATATGCGCATGCTATATATACCCTATAAAAGCTACAGGCATACTTTAGTATGTGCACGAAAGTATGCCTGTAGCTTTTATAGGGCTTGAGATCGACACGTTCTTACATACGGACAGAGCTTGGTCGAATCCTGATCTAAAATATAAAATATACTATGTGGGGTCTACCCGCCTCCAGTCCCAATTCCTCTAAGTGGTAAATGACAATTTGCAAGAGGTTTGATCATTATTAACAATGCGACATCTGCCAGATGGACATCTAAAGGACTTTAGCTTCATACAAGATTAGGATTGATGAGTTGAGCCGATTTAGACACATACATCTTGTTGGTTTTTTATATTAATTAATGTTACATATGTACTATTTTTTCATAATTGAAAGCAAATACATTTTTAATAATTGATATTTATTCAGACGTAATATGCATTTGTGTGGTGCCAAAAAGTCCTCAAAGCCTTGAATTAGACAAACTTACAATACAATAAAGTCCTTGCCTTTTCATCATCGCGGCTTCGAATTACAGAATATTTTACGTAAATTACAATATCGTCCAAGAAATTTATAAAAGATAACAGGCATTTTAATAGTGCACAAAATAACCATTAAAAAATTAAAAAATATCTGAAGAGCACCTGTCTCAAAATAGTGGTCACGCTCAATCTAAAATAAAACATCATATCGAATATTAACGGTCTAACCTTAATTTGCTGATAAGATATGCCCAAAAGGTTAGTTGGAACAAAATGATTTTATAGATAATAGTAAGATCTTTTACATAAAAATGTATATATTAAAAATTAGTACTTATTATATTTTATTCAAACTTATGCAAAAATTTCCTGTTTAATGATGCCAATATCTTTAAGCAACTGATCAATATCATTGGGAGAGATCATTTCCTCTATTCGTCTATCGCATTGCATGAACTGTAATAAAATATATATAATAATTCAGCTTTACTTTCATAAAAATATATTAACCAACTCGCTCCAGTTCAGCACGCAAAGCTATAACTGCTTTTTCACGATCAGCAACTAACTCTTCCAAATACTGATATCGCAGTTTTTTGCGGGCACGGCATTCTCGTGCACTTTGTCTGCTCCGCTCTAAAAATACAGTGTAAAATATAAAACATCACTCATATTCTTACAAATTTTATTTTTAAATTTAAAATTTTTACCGAGTTTAGCTTTTACATCAACTTTTTCAGATGATGTTTTTCTGCCTGGCTTTCGTCCTCTTCGTCCACTTTCCTTGCGTTCCTAAAACAATAAGTTTTAAATATTTCAAATTTCTATTATCACAACTTATCCCTCTCAACGTCTGACTGTCAAATTAACAGGGTATATGTAATCGTATGTCTTTATATGAAGAGAACTTATAAAACTAAATGAGTTTAACTTGCGAATTATGGGATAGACAAATAATATTAACAGATTTATTATTCCCAATGTTAAAGTGAGAAAGGTTTAAGACTCTTCCAAGTGGAAAACAATCAATGAAAGTTCCTTTACATTATATGTTTTTAAACGCTAGATTTTGAGATAATTAAAAGAAATAAATAGAAATCAAAAATATATCAGAAATTTTTTCAATGCATTGATAGCATTTATTTTCGTTATTTTCAGATTTGTACCTATTAGATAAAATTGTTTAGGCTCGATTAGGAGATATCTTGCGAAGTGCTCTTTTAATCATGTAACGCTTTTTTATACACAAATTTTAAATAACACATGGCAAGATCGACTCCGCCAGTAGTCCTGATCAAGAATATATAAATTTTTGGAATCTGCAACGACTCCTTCTAGCGGTTACATACTTTTTCACAAAACCATATTAACGTAAATTCACACTTGCAACGGATTCTAGCTATAAAAATTAAAAAACTCAAATTACATTGAACATAAAACATAAACCCAGATCTGTAAATGCATCTGCTTATGCTTATTAATTATCAACGTAATTATGTCCTCTGTAGCTTTTTACGTATAGCTTTTAATATACGTAAATATATCATTTCGTATGTATTGATTTCATATGTAATCGTTATTGACAAAAATATACGACGCAATAACCAATTGTGAACAGAATTGTATTTGATACGTACGCTTAATTGATGTTCTTCTGTTATAGCCATTTGCATACTATCACAATCCATATTGTATAGTTTTAATTTTTTAATCGATTTACAAATATTATTTCTTGTTTTGTTATTAGTAGCGTTTGTTTATGGAACAAAAAAAAACGATTTGTCGCATCGATTTAATTTCTCAATGCAATAATCTAATTTATCGATATTATTCATACAATTTATGTGAATAAGGGTACTCCTTAAATTGATTGAAATATCGATTATATATTTATATTTTAAAGAGATTATTAAGGTCATTCTGTCTTATATATATGAAACACTATATCAGTTTTTCCGACTTATCGAGCAAAATCATTATCATCCATTAATTAATTATATATTTATTATATGTGTAATATATTATAGAAACGCAATATGGAATAATTCGTTATGAATAACAATATTCAGAAAGTAAATACAAAGCATGAAAAGTTGGCTTATATTGTTTTATTAGCTTGTTAATGTTTAAAGTTGTATTGGTACTCCTTGTAAAATTTATGATAGGTAGTCAATCGATCCAATTTTTGGTTTATATTGCTCTAGTTCCTTTTGTGGAGAGTCTAGTAATATAATAGGCAGATGTTCTTCGCCTTTCCGATGATGTCTTCATATGTTTACAGTTAACAATTGGAGATAATTTCGTTTCTTTTAGCTCTGATAGAATTTGTATTGTTAACTCGCAAGATTTTTTATATTCAAGTTATTCAACAATTAAGGCTGATAGGCCTGTAAGCGAAGCCGATCCCCTATTTGCGTAACTCAGTTTCATAAAAAATAATCTCGGTTGATCCCGCATATATTATTCAGCTAAACGTGGTAAAAATTTCTCCAAAAAGCAAAAATTTATCAAATCTAGATATTTATTACAAGAAACCTACAGAAAAAATTTGAATATTTACAATGTTCAAGTTACCTTCAAGAAACGACGCCAATTTTTCGGTTCTTATCGATAATATAAAAATGGGAAAAGTTATAAAAAAAAGAAAAACTGTAGTGTGTATTGTATACACGAGTATACATTTCAAATTTGAAGTCTCTGGTTTTTGTGGCTTACGAGGGACGGACAGACCGTCAGACTAGTTTGTCGGCTTATAAAGAATGTATACCCTATGGGATCTGCGATGGCTCCTACATTTTCACAAAACCATTTTAAGCTAAATTCCCATTTAATGGGTTGAGGGTTTAAAAGTGTAACAAACGAACTGTTGATCTCGTACTTGTTTTGAGGAATAGGATGTCCATATTCATAGTAGGTGTGGTGGTGAATAATGATTTTGTCCATACATTACTTGTAGTAGGGATTTAAGTGAGAAAAACAACTTTGGGTCAAATTATTCAACTTGTATTCCGAAGTGACCATTTGTTGGTTTTGGTCCATGGTGTCTAGCGTTGACATTATAGACTGGAAAAATGTGTAGCTCGTTGATACGCAAAGTAATTCCTGTGGTCTCCGGCTTCAATGAAACTATACAAATGTCTCAGGATTCTGGGCTATCTGATTTATAAGGGACGTGGTAAATCGTCAATTATCTTTATCTTTATAGTACTTCAAAAGGCCATTTAACAGTTTTTTTTGGCACTTATTCAATTAAGTATCGGAGACAGTTGACAGTTGTTCTTGAGGGAAGTCATTTTAAAATCGGGGGTCTTTAAGGTCAACCTTGCATGTTGAAATCGAACCGATTCACCAATTCATTGGAGTTTTTTGATTCTAAAAGTATATTCATGCAGTCAACGTAATTATATAAAGTTATAATGGGTTCGAAGGTTTTTTCTTCCTTATAAGTCTACTGACTTCTGGTACGTTTCTGAACTTGACTTTCTTTTGTAAGTCCGCTTATAGCACGCGTATATCAAGTCTGTTTCAAATAATCGATAACTATTCTCGTTGTATTATTTTCAATTCAAAACATTATTATTATTATTATTATAAAAGTTAGTTATTAAAAATGAGCTCATACGTTTTTGAAGCTTGAGTCTTTAGATCATGTATATTTTATTCAATTTTGAATTTGTTGTATTTTAGATACCGGAAAAAAATGTTCATATATAGTTAATACCTGAGTTTGATATAAAAAGATATAAAAATGCCTTAAGCTTGTCACATTTTCAAGAAGGCATATCATTGAAATCGTAGAAAAACACCTACAACTTCTATTATTTTTTTTGCTATGGGTTTTTGTTTATTATTTTAATTTATAAAATAGGTTAACAATATGTTTGCAAACCTAAATGGAAAAATATATAATGTACTAGCAGTTTTCTAAACGTTTAGGTCCATACAACAAAACATAAGCGCAATGCCAGTCGCCACCACCAGAAAGTCGTAAAATCTCGTCGGTGGAGACAGATGTCACATCGTCATCGTCGAACTTATACCAGACATCGGCGATTGAGCGCACCCAGGCCACATAATGACCAGATGAACTTGAACGACCCTTATGAGTTAGCACCGCTTTAAGTGTATAATAGCCAGAGTTGTTGCTGCCCAAATCATCATCAAACCAGAACTGTTCATATTTTTTATCATCTTCTTCTTCGTCGACTTCCAAAGATTTTGCCGTCTTATTTATCTGCGATTCGACATCCATTTTTTTATCTTCATGATCCTTAAATTTTGATCGCATAGGGCACAGCTTATTCTGCAAATCGGGCGTACACAGCTCAAAGGCATCGAAATCAATCGGAAACTTAATATCTTTCAATACTTTTGCATTAATGCCTTCCTTGCCTTTATATTGAAATCTGACAAACTGAACTGTAAGATATGCTGGAAGTCGACTTATCAGATACTACAAATACAAACGATTAAATTAACATTTATAGCATATATATATTGCCTTACAGTTCTTGTATAACGTGCATCGCGACCCAGCGTATTCGAGTTCTTTACCAATTGCTCTTTCATTTTCTATTAAAATAAATATATATTTATATATATATATGCAATGCATAGTTATACTATTTTAATTTTTAGTAATAATTACCGATTTAAGACCGCTTTGCATATACTTAACTTCCATAGATATAAAGCAACTGAGCTGCAAAAAATTTTCTGTTGAAACTGTGGCAGGCTCATCAGGAGCTTCATCAGCTGTCATTTTTACTTCAAAAGTTCCACCAAAGAATTGTTCAATAAATGAGCTGGGAAGAAAATCATTATTTAAACACTAAAAGTTAAAAAAAAATATAAAAATATCTTAATAAATCTTTTTTAAAATATATGCTATTTTTCTTTTTCATTCTGATCGTGTTTTTATTTAAAAAATAATTTAAGACAAACCCGGAAACTATAATATAATATTCGTGCTCATTAGCTTCGACATTTTTCTCCAAATTAACCGACTAATTAAAAAAGAGATTCAGGATTCGAATTCAGGTTACAACGAATATTTTCTTAGAAAACTTTACCATTTGAATAGATAATGACCATGAAAACTTGTAGATCAATTAACTACAGTATGATAGAATAAAGAACTAATCAACCAAGGTTGAGTAATTAGCATAAAATGTTCAAAAGAGTTGGAAACACATAACTAGGATATTCATAATAAGGTGTTGAACATCTGTTTCTAACGTTCTTTCATAAGAAGTATGAAATAAACCGAATTTGTGCAGTAGTAGCTATCAGTGTAAAAGCAATCAGAAATCGCTGAAAATATCCTTTATAATTTATCATTTACTATTTGTTTCATCTATGGTATATAAACTTTTACAAGTATATTTTCAAAGGATTTCGAGTGTAAGACGCTATTCAACCAAATATTTAATTCTTAAATTCTATTTACTTTTAGTAATTGTTATATGTACAATGCTAAATAATTTACTTACTTATGGACTTTTTTTTCGTTTGCTTCAGCTGATTCTTGGTTGAAGGGCAAAAGTTTTTGTTGTAACATTTTCAGTATCTCAGACCAACATTCATTTGCATCTTGCTGTCTATAGGTGCCGTTTTCGCCAGTCTGTGCAAATTGCGGCGACGCTCTATGTAAGGCTTGCAACAACACAATTGGTGTAATAGTTGTGCCCTTCTCCATCTGTGCAAACACTATTTTCATAGCTGATGAAATAGTAAATGCATATGAAGTTGCGTCAGAGCTATCAGGTCGAAATTTTTCCAAAGCTTTTCTTAGTTCAGGAACTGCCCTTAAACATTGTACAGTTGCATTCATGTAGCATGTATTGCCAAGGTTAGTTAAACCCGCCGGTAGGCGCATCTAAAAATGGCATTTCAATTATTTAATATTCTGAAAACTCAATCGTAAAAAACAATACCGCGGTAGCTGCTTCTGCGTCGTTCATGTCTTCAATAAATTTAACTGGCGTTTGAGGTACTTCTGGCACTTTATCCTTAGAACCCAATAATAAGACGACAGCTCCCTTTGGAATAAAATGGACATAGAGATTTGTATAGGTTTTTCGTATAACTTACGTCTTTTAATTGCAAATTCCATTCATCATCTTTAAGTATTCCACCTTTGCACATAATTTTTTGACGTTCCGGTTGAACCCCCGTTAATGCAAAAAGTTGAGCTTTAAATAATATTGGGTCTTCATCAGTATTGACATCAATATCCGGGTATAGTTCCCGGCCCCACTTGACTTTTACTAAACAGAAAATACAAAATAAACTTTTAATAGCAATACACAATTGTATTTGAAAAACTTACCTTTAAAAGACGGCATTTCGGAATTACAAACAAAAATTTTTAAAAACTCAAAGTCATGCAATTCTAGTTGGAATTAGTGATGCTACTCTCCACAGTACTAATGACTATTCAGATTGTTCACTAAGTATCGATGAGTCGATAAATTAAAATATTATAATATTGCAAGGCAATATTTAAAACTGTTAAAAAGAATGGGTAAAAATTTCCGTCAGCGGATAAATTAATATAAAGCATGCTCTAAAATATATAAATTAATAAATTATTGCCTTTGATAAATATTTGAATTGTGCGATGTCTTCAAGATAAGACTCATTAAATGTAGAGTGGCGATGAGAAGCGCGATTTATTTCCAAATATAAACTGAAGACTAGGAGCATAATTTCTAACAGCAAAAGCCATATGAATATAAGCTCGGTGTTATTATTAAGCATAATATTATGGGCTGAATATGATGCCGGGTCTTGGTTCACGGAATAACTTATATTTATTCA